CAGTACTCGGCGGCCAGCCACCGGTATCCACCTCTCGCCGCCTCCGGCAAACATCGCACAGGGCGATGAAGCGGCGATTCGCCGCATCATCGGTGTAGTCAGCCGTCCAGCACTTGAGCCAGCCTGCGCACAGCCGGTTGATGTCCGAGGACGGGGTGGTGGAGGACTCAGACCGGGCGGCGCCCGTTTCGCACGCGCGCGCTCAATACCAGATCCCGGAAGGAGGAATCGGTTGGTATGCGTTTTGTGTTTTATGCGACCGCCCGACCCACCTCCAGCAGACGTCCGCTTCACCGCGTCCCGGGAGCGTGGTCCTCACACGCGTCAGGAGGACAAGCCGTGAACGCACTGTGTCGACAGACGTTGCGCTTGCGGGTACGGCCTTACGCGGCAGCGACGGCTTCGTCGATGTACCTGATGGCCTCCGCGTCCTCGCCCCGCAGCGTCGCCAGCAGCGCGCGGTTCTTTAGCATCTTTGTTATGCGTACTCATCTCCTTGCCTGCTGTCGTTAGTGTCGTCGACGCCCCACAGCCCGGCGTCGCGCCGCCTGCTCTCGCTCGCGAACGTCGCCCGGAAGGTCCGCGAACACCGCGAGCGCGTCGGCCGGCGACCCGCGAAGGGCATGGATGAACGCGACGGCGGCCGCGTGCGCCGACCGGTCGACGCGGCCGTTACCGTAGGCTTCCAGAATCGGTTCGGGCGGCGCTGCGGTCAGCACGACCTCGTCGAGGCACGCGGAAAAGGCCGGCTCGACATACTCGTAGCGCCAGCCGGTGAGAAGGCTCGCTAACCCGTGCGCGCGAGCCAGCGCCACTGGTTTGCGTCGATGCGGCCCAGGTCCCTGCGGATCCGCTCGTAGCGACCCGCGACCGTGTGGCAGCGCAGCATCATTTCGCGTTCCCCGTGACTCGTCCTTGCCAGGTACGGAGGAAACTCGCTTCGGAAAGCGTTCACGATGCCGCCAAGTGTTCCTTGTTCCAAGGCCTGAGCCGTCAGCCACGGGGCCCACTCGCCCGACGCGATCAGCCTGGCCGAGTATGCAGTCTCGCGGATGGCGCCCGCCGCGATGCCGGCCCGCCGAGCGGCCTTGCACTGGGTGTTCGTGATCAGGCGCCCCTGGTGCCTCAACCTCGCGCGCCTCAGTACCTTCGCCAGCTGCGTGCACATGAGGGTGTGCGGATACACGATGCCAAAGGCTGTGGCGACGAGGCGCGCACAGGTCCAGGAGCAGCGATACGAGCGTAGAAGAAATCTGCTGGAGTCAAACTGTACGGGTTCCGGTTTTCTGGACAAGTGGACGCCAGGCAGCCGGCACTCAGCACGGTGGGCCTGCCTCAGGGGATCCGGGCCGGCATCCGGGTGGCTGCGATCACGTCCAGCGATGCGTGCGCCAGAGCCGACCTCGGACTACGGAAGAGCTCGCATCAGCGCCTGACCGAGCTGTATGGCCTCGATCGTCACCGCGGCCAACCCTGCGGCGCGGTCGTGGTGGTCCGCCCTCTCTTCCCCGCCCCGCAACAGCACCCGATCAGCTCTGCTACAATTCTTCTACCCTTCCATATGGGATCGAATCTGCGAGCCTTGTGGGCCTTGCCGGACTGGGTCGACGAGTCGGCCGCAACGAGAAGGTCGCATCCCTTCCTGGTGACCGATCGCACGGGTTGCAGGCCGGCGCATGCGGCGTATCGTTCCAATACGTGCCGGGCAATCAGTTGCCCATCTACAGTCGCCTCGCCCGTGAAACAGACATGCATCCCCTGGCAAAGGCTGCATGTCGCCTGGAAGCCGTGTGACCTCTGGGCATGCGAACGTCGAAGATTTTCAAGCGCATCGGCCACCCTGCCTGATGAGGCGCTGCTCCGCTTCGGTGACGATGCCATCACGTTTCGCCGCAGCGATGATGGACGCCATGTACGAGCGGTGCGCTTCGGCGCGTTGCTCGCGGGAAATCTCAAGGCTGTCGGCCAACTCGAGGAGCTCGGCGCGCTCGCGCTCATCGATCTGGCGGTCATCGAGCATCCGGTCGAGCGCGTCGAGGTACTGGAGCAGCACATCATCCGAATACGGGTAGTATCGTGGGAACGACAGGGCGGCCAGGTCGCTGACTCGGACCCCCGTGGCGTATCGGCGCAGCGTTCGTGGATCAGGCGTGTCTGCGATATGCCCGACCGCCGCTCCTCTGGCGTCGCGCACCATATCGGCACCGAGCTGGCGCGCCAGTTCGGCGGTGGCCCGCGCGTCGGCAAGCGCCCGATGTCCCTGGTCCAGCGAGATTCCGAACCGCGTGCACGCGATGCTGAGTTTGTCCCCGGTGGCTCTGTAGGTGCACAGACCGGTCCCGCCGTCGAAAGACACGCCCATTCGTTCGAATTCGTACGCGAGCATCCGTGTATCGAATGACAGGTTGTGCGCGACGAGAACCGCGCCGTCGATCCTGCGCGCAACGGCAGCGGCGATCTCGCCGAACACGGGCGCAGCCTCCACCATCGACGCTGTAATGCCATGCACACCAACGGCTCCGAGATCCCGTTCCGGGTTGACCAGGGTGTCGTACTCGTCGACAGGCTCCAGTGTCCGGGGGTCGAGCGTGACCGCTGCGATTTCGACGATGCAGTCGCGCCTGCCAACCGGTGGTCTCGCAGTCGATGACAACAAGCCGTGACTCAGTCCGTTTCACTCCGTCAGCCTCCCGCGATGTCCGGGCCACGTACCATGACGCTCACGCTGGTGGTCGACGGGGACTCCTCGTTCACGGCGGATTCAACCCCTCCGTCGTCGACGCGTCAGTACAAGCGAGCCTGCGGCGATCCACACGAGCCAGGCGGCCCGCTCCGGGAGGGTGAGCTCGGAGATGTGCACACCAGGCGTGGAGCCGTCAGGACCTCAGCCAGGAAGAATCCTCGCGGAGCGCCGGAGCGGAGGCGCCGACGCTCCGCGATCGGATCCGATCACTGTGACGGGCTCTCACGAGCGCCTCGACCTCCTCGCCCAGCTCTTCGGGGCGCATCCCCGCCCAGCCCGGTACCCGCACGAGGTTCCACGCCGCTGCGGCGCGGCCCCAGCCGTGGTGATTCGAGCCCGAAAGGACCGTCAGCTCCAGGCTGTCCGCGATCTGGAGAAGGAGATCACGCTCTTCCACGGACTGCCGAAGTCCACGCGGGTCGGCATCCACCAGCTCGATCGCGTGAACGCCTCCGAACTTCTCCCGGGTCGGAAGCGGAACCCTGGACAGGTCGTTCGGGATCGTCTGGATGAGGGTCGGCCACCCGTTTCCGGGGGGAATGCCCACACTCGGATCCAGGCGGCCGAACACGATGACATGCTGGTTGCGGTATCGTACCTCCCGCCCCGGCAGAAAAGAGAGCCCCTGGCCCGCCCTCTCCGGGTTCTGGCTCCCTGCGGCTGTGGCGGCGTCCAGGCTCATGTGGTCCGTCAGGTACGCGAGGTCGAACCCGGCGCTCAGGTGCCACTCCCGGCGCGCACTCGCGTCGAAACCCGGCCGACCGTCGTGGGACGTGTCGGTATGGCTGTGGAAGTCGACAACCACGACGTCAGGGTCGCCAGACTCGAGCGCCGCCATCGGGCGCATGCCGAGCACGCCGAAGGCATAGACCCCCAGGACCGACAGCAGCGCTGCACCGGCCAGGCCGAATTCCCGGACAGGACCCTTCCCCGTGCAGGCGCCCGACAACCGCCGGAAGACTCGAAACGCGAGGTAGGCCAGGGCAAGCCCGAGGAGTACGGCCACATGCTGCCGGTCGGTCAGCAAAGAGAGGTGGTCCAGCACGCTCATCACCGGCGCCAGGGCAAGATACCCGGCCGGGAATCGAAGGCTCGCGTCGGCCGCGGCCTCCCCCGTCAGGGCGTCCACCACAGGCACCTGGGAGAACACGCCCGCCAGCCACAATGCCCCGAGGGCAGACAGCAGCCAGCGCAGGTGCTTCCGTGTCAGCCGCATCTCCACCACCAGCTCAAGATCGTCCGGAACGGACCGGGAAGCCTCGCGCCACGGGCACCTCTCGCCTGACCTGCGACGGAAACCGCCGGCACGGAGCGCGTGGCCGGGCCAACAATGGGGACTCGCACCCTGCGCTTCAAGGAAGACCGCGCCCTTTCGCCGGCGCCGAACAGCCCCCGAGGAGGGGCGACACCTTCGAATGAGACGACGAACTGACGCCCGTCCGGTGCGAACGTGGGACCGACTCCCTCCTGGAATTCCCGGACCGGGGTCCCGCGCGGCGCCCCACGCGGTATATTCCGGGGGAGATCGTACACGTCGAATTGAACGAGTCCGCGGACGACCGTCCATGACCCTGAGGAAGGGCCGCTCCAGGGGCCGGATCCGGCCCCTCCGCATGCTGGTTCTCGCCGGCCTCGCCGGCGTCTGCCTCAGCGTCGGCATTGTCCTCCCGTGGCGCTGGCACGATCCCCCAACCACCGCCTTCATGCTCCGCGAGGGGCGCCTTCGCGAAGAGCCCCTCCGCCATCGCTGGATCGCCTGGAATGACGCGGCGCGGAGCTCGCTGTCGCGGTGATCGCCTCCGAGGACCAGAAATTCTTCCAGCACAACGGATTCGATTGGGCTTCCATCCGTAGTGCGATCGAGGAGAGCCGGGGAGGCAGCCGGCTCCGCGGTGCCAGCACGATCTCGCAGCAGGTGGCCAAGAACCTCTACCTGTGGCCGAACCAGAGCTGGATCCGGAAGGGGGTCGAGGCATACCTGACCGTCTGGATCGAGCTCCTCTGGCCCAAACGCCGCATCCTGGAGGTATATCTGAATGTGGCCGAGTTCGCAGATGGGGTCTTCGGGACAGGAGCCGCCGCCGATCACCTCATCGGAAGGGCCCCGGGCGAGTTCACTTCCTACGATGGAGCCCTCCTCGCCGCCGTTCTTCCAGACCCGAAGCGACTGTCCGCAGCGACGCCCTCGGACTACGTGCGGCGCCGGGCAAGCGAGATCATGGGGGTCGTCGAGGATCTTGGCGGCGTCGGATACCTCGCGGACGGCTCCTGACCGGGGTCGGTGTCGCTCGGAAGGGTGAGCGGCCGGGCACGAACGGGTCACCACGAGACGGGCCGACGCCCCCTCGCGGTCCACGCGCCGAACAAGCGCGGCGGCGGCCACGCGCGCCTGCCTGGACCGCTGCCGGTCCCGCCCGCAGAACACCGGCCCCTCGCGACACCGCCCTTCACACGTAGTATCTTTCCCGGTCACCCTCGCACACGTAGCCGAGCGCCCCCGCGCATCGCACCGCCCACGAGCGCCGAATCACGTCGTCTCCACCCTGCGCCATGCCCCGATCCTTCGGCTCCTGCGGAGCTGTACTCCTCGTGCTTGCCGCGACTCCGATCGCATCCGCCGGGCAGAGTGAACCGGGACTGGGCGAGGCAGAGCGGGTCGGCGCCGCTCTCACGATCCGGGCCGGGGTCAGTTGGATGAGCAACGAGCCGCTCCCGGTGGCTGCACTGGCTGGCACGCTCCGCCTCTCCCCGACCTTCGAGCTCGGGGGCGAGGGGGTCATCAGCCTGCAGACGGCGAAGTTGACCCCCGGGGAGTCTCCGAATCGGTCCGAGATCGGAACGGGCTACGGCGGGGTACTTCTTCGGTGGAGGCCTGCCGGCGATGTTCCGGGGATCCGGTGGGCCGGAGGGCTCCTGCTCGGAGCGGGGGCGGCCCGAATCCGTTCTCCGCTCTCCGGCAGCCCGGTGATCACCGAGAATTACTTCCTCATCGAGCCCAGGATCCAGTTGGGCGCGGCCCAGGACCGGTCCATCCGGTTTCATGGAGAGGCTGGGGTTACCGGATCGCGCTGACGGCCGATCCGCCGGCAGGTATACGGGCCACCGAACTAAGGGGTGCCACCGTCTCCCTGGCCATCCGGTACGTTCGCGATCCGTAGGCGCACTTGGGTTCCGGAGCGGCAGCCCTTCAATCCGGCCGAGGGCCGGCGTGGAGGTGGATCGGCCCTGTCCTAGCCCGGTCAAGAGCTGAAGGTCGGCGCAGAAGGACTCCCCGGCGGAGACTCAGGTCGCCGCCAGCACCGGGGTAGCGCCCGGTCGCCGACCCCCGGAGCTTCGGGCACGAGCGAGGGCCTCAGGACGGAGCGGCGGACTCACGAAGTTCGACCCCGGAGGGGCAACCCGACCTCCTCGCAGGCCACCGGTCCCCGAGAGCCAGCCAGGCGTATCCCGAACCGAAGAGCACGACGAAGGGGAGACTTTGCCAAAGCCCCTGCTGTATCGCGATCCACCCGCTGCCGAGCATCCAGACGAGGAGTGCCCCCTTGGTCAGCGCGTCCGTCGGTACGGCTGGGCTCACGTACCGGGGCACGCCCTCCCCTCGTTTCGGGCGTCCGTTGAAATGGATCGTGGGCCCGACCGACCGCCCCGCGAACGACGGCCCGCGACACCGTCGCGCCGAGCCCGATCCCGAGAGCAAGCGTTAACGCCGCCGTAGGAATCAAGTGTCTCCAGGCGCGCCCGCGGCGCCGAGCCGCAGCGGCGAAGAAGACGAGGAATGACGCGGTGGCCCCCAGGAAGACCAGAACGTCGACGACGAGCCAGCCGTCGAGCCCGAGCGACTTGCGAGCCAGGGCGGACGGAACGATCAAGACCGCCAGGACGAGCGTCAGCGGATGAGCCAGGTGGCCCAGGAGGTGGACGGCGGCCTCCCACTTTATCCCGAGCGGCCACGGTCCACCGAGAAGCTTCGGGAGCACCTTTCGCGCCGTCTGGATCCCGCCCTGCGCCCACCGCTTCTGCTGCAGCTCCAGATCCCGCACCGTTCCGGGCAGCTCGGCCGGAACGCCGACCAGAGGCCGGAAGACGAAGCGCCACCCCGCCATCTGCGCGCGGTAGCTTGCGTCCAGATCCTCCGTCAGCGTATCGGCCGACCAGCCGCCCGCCTCCTCAAGGGCCTCGCGGCGCCACATCCCCGCCGTGCCGTTGAAGTTGAGAAAGCGGCCGGCGGCCCACCGCCCGCCCTGCTCGAAGAAGAAGTGGGCATCCAGCAGCTGTGCCTGACAGCGCGTGAGCTGAGATTCCCCCTCGTTCAGGTGATCCCAGCGTGCCTGTACCATGCCGACCTTCGGATCCAGGAAGGGCCCGAGGAGCCGATGGATGAGATCAGGACGCGCAACGAAGTCGGCGTCCAGGATCAGGAGAAAGTCGCCGCGTGCCTGTTCGAGACCGCCTGCGAGCGCGCCGGCCTTGAACCCCGCCCGCCCGTCCCTCTTCAGATGGCGGATGTCAACCCCTTGCCGCCGCCACCGATCGACGCACAGCGCTGCTCGCTCCGAGGTCCCGTCGGTGGAATCGTCCAGAAGCTGGATCTCGAGCCGGTCGCTCGGATAGCGCAACCGGGCTGCAGCATCAATCAGCCGTCGCCTCCACGCTCTCGCTCGTTGTCGACCGTGAGAGCTATGCACCGTGACGCGCGGAAGAGATCCCTCCCAATCCTCCCGTTCCCTGCCACTCGTTACTCCGGGCATCGCCAGAGAACCACGCCCAGGTCCGATCTCGCGCAGCGCGAAGGGCAGGAGGAGGAGGAGCGTCCCGGAAGCCACCGCGCTGAGACCGCGACTCGCCGAGCCAGCTCGCATGCATCGTCAAGCTCTCGAACGTGTCTCGCGTGAGAGCATAGCGTCAGGGATGTCGCCGGATACGCGCACACAGTACGGTAGACTCCACAAGAGTAGTGGATGAAGCGCCGCTCGCTCCGCACTCCCGTCCGGGTCACGCGCACCCGTAACGAGAGCCTGACACGGGCTGGAACGATCCCGGCGCCGCACCCTCAGCTCCGCAACACCTCCCTTCCGTCATCCGCGCACTCCGTCCGAGCCTGACACGCCGGCTGGAACGCGATGCCCGGCGGCGCTCGGTCGCGCGCCGACACACCACATACATACCTCCCGCGTGCCCCCGCGACGTGTGTAGGAGACCCGAAACCACTCCTCTCCACACCCGCGCACGCAGTCGTCGGTCCCATGGCCTCGGTGTTGCGCAGGGCGGCACTCCGGACCGGGAACACCTTCGGGGTCAGCGCGGCGTTCCCGCTCCGGGACCTGGCGTGACGCCACGCGAACACGGGCGGGCGGGCGACGGAATGTCGAATCGGACTCGTGCTGTACACGCGCCGGCGCCGCGCGAGCTTCGCACGGCTAGCCACCCGGACGCACCGCCGGCAACGACATCTTCGTGGAGGGTGCGTCCGCACGACCCTGAGGCGCGAATCACGAATGATTGCAAGGACGACGCACGGCACGCGACGGCGACGTCAGACGCGACCGAGTGGTGCCGCACGTGCCGCCCACGCAGCGCGCCGGATCGTGTGCCGCGCACTCGGTCGACCGCGACTTCACCGGCGAGGAAGTGGCGCTGCTTCGCGCACTGATCGCCGAGCCGCCGCCAGCTCCTACTCGCCATGCCCTGTCCGGGAGATTCTGCCGGCGCATCGGCTGTGTCTCAAGCCCGACGGCGGCTCTTTTAAGACATGACTGGCCGCGGTCGACATGCTGGCCATGCACACCGACGGCCTCATCACCCTGCCACCGCTGGAGCGGAGCAGTACCTCTCGTCAAGTACCGCCCGTCGCCCGCACCCCATCGTCTCAGGACACGGACAAATCTAACACCGAAGTTGGGTGCCGCTTGACGCGGCGCACCAGACCGACCCCTCGACCAGGCGCCGACCGCTCCAGCTCGTGCTTCGGACCGTCGCGTGCATGCACACACACCCGCCGGGCTACGACCTGTCGTGACACGAGTTCGTGCTCGCGCTACTCCACGACATCCGGCTTCAAGACCCAGGTCGGACGCACCATGATGCGCGCGCCGGCCGTACACGCCAAGCGAACGGCTGGCCCCTTGCCAGACTCGGCTTCAGTACCCCTCGTGGTGGACGCTCGCCCGCGCTAACGCCTTCAGTTCATAATCGGATGGACGGCCTCCCCGCTACGCAAGAAGAACCTCCCCCCCCTCGTCATTGACAACCCCAGGTTCCCCATCCTGCCCTGGTGTCAGGATCCCCACCTGGCTGAGCGCATCATACCTCGCACCTCTCGTCTGCGCGCGCGCCTGCCCGCGACCTGGGACCTCGACGCTACACACGCACCTGCCCACTTCCTCATCAGAGACGTTCGTCGAAATCCCGCGCTTTACCGGCGTCGTCTACAGGGCCTCAGCTTGGATCCATGTCGAAACCACCCAGGGAACGCGGGCGCTACGACCCCCACAACCAAACCGGCAAACCCGAAATGGACGTCTGGACTCCGGCCCCTCGCCAAACGCGGGAAACGCATTCTCAACCGGTCGTCTCCCCCGCCACGGCACGACCGAACGCCTTGAGGTGCTGGCGACGGACGGGCGAGATGCGCGCCCCGGCCCCACACGCCGAACGAGGCAGCAGCGGCCGCTGGAAGGCGTGGAAGCGAAGCCCGGGACGGTGGCGCACGACCAGGCTACCCACTGCTCGAGAGGCGACTGACGCGACTTGACGGGAAGAGACGCCAGCGCTCAGCCTCGACGTGCGATCTCCGACGAAACCCTCCGCTCCCGCGGTTCGCTGCCACGCACTCATGCTGACTCGCACTCGCATTCACCACCCGCGCGCTTCGGCACCATGAGCCGAGCCATGCGGACTCTGCGGCCGCGCTGTCTCGCGACTGTCGCCCCCATCGCTTCCGGCGTCCTCACCTGCCGGCTCACCGAGAGCACCGTTCGCAAGCCCGCAGAAGGAGGCAGGCAACGGTGAAACCCGCGCGGGCGAGCTCGTCATGCGCCGGGTTGCCCCTGCGCGGCCGGGACCGATGTCTCCGCAGACGCACAGCGTCCGGGCGGCACGCCTCTCCTCTTCGAAGAATTCGGTGTACCTTTCTCAACGTTCCACTCAGGCCTCCAGCCAGCGCTGGGGACTCCCAGAGACCGGGAGCGACTGCGCCCTCCGCCCGGGATCACTCGTCCGTACTCGCCTAAGCTCTTCGATGGCTCCAACGCGCGTGGCTTACGCTCAGTGCGCATCTACGAGCAGTTCGTCCGACGGACCCCTGAAGCGCGGTTGTCGCAGTGGCGGGCCATCTTCTCTCTCTCCCAGGCAAACCACGACAGCAGCTGGTCGCGGTCCGGCCTTCGTTCCGATGCAACTCGGCGGGCAAGGAAAACGACCGTCGCACCGTGAGGCGCGGAGCCACCTGATGGACTGGAGCTTGCGCGGCACGAGATCCGGAGCTTCGGTCGGCCGCTGCAGGAGCTCGGCACTCCTGCCCACGACACTAGCCGCCATCTCGCCCGAATCGTCGGTGCACCGTCTCTCTGCATCACCCCAGCCTTCGCGACCACGGCCATCAGCTCGCCAGGACGGACCCCCTCGGGAGCGACCCGCCCGGCCATCCTTGACCACTCATGACCCCTGCCTGCTTCGCACTCCTCGTTTCAGGGACCTGGAAGAGATCCCCACCTCCCTCGTCCTCCCGGAGGGCGGAGACCGGCCCCTGAACCAGACCCTTCGACGCCTTCGCAGACATCACTACTGCAGCTACGACTCCGTCGCTCTACTCCGTTCGAGCACCTCGAGGACCCCGAGAAAGTCCGTTGGCTATGGAGCCGCGTCGAATCCCGGGAGTCGGGTGCCCCGCTGCCCATCGAGGCCGGGATCCGCCCTGCTCGCGCGTGTCGCCTCACGCTCGTGGTGGAGGGATCGGACGCGGTTCCTCACCTGCGCCTATCTCGGGCAGAAGCGCTTCTCGATCGAGGGCACGGACATGTATAGGTCCCGACTGCTGCGATCTCGCCTCGAGGAACAGCCGCGCTCGGGCGGCTGTGCGCCGGTCATCCTCTGGGACTCGGCGCATCCGCGAGACGACTCATGGCGGCTGCGGCTGCACATCCTGGGGATCGGCTATCGCGCGCGCCTTTGCTCGCGGGAATTCGAGGACGATGCGCCGCGGACCCGCTACGGGGCCGCTCGCACGTGAGGCGGCCGGCACGGGCGATGTGAAGTACCACCTGGGTGCGGAGGGCAGCTACAAGCTTCACGCCGGCGGGACGATCGATGTCTCGCTCGCCCCGAACCCCAGCCACCTGGAGTTCGTGAACCCGGTGGCCATCGGAATGACCCGCGCACCTATCCAGTACGGCGCGCGCGGCCGGTCCTGAACCCTCGAGCCGACACCTCCTCTGTGGTACCGGTCCTGATCCACGGGGACGCAGCTTCCCGCCAGTCATGGACGTGGCATGTGCCGCGAGTCCTGACCTGCCCGGCCCAGCCGGCTACTCGTCGCTGCGCTCGTCACGACTTCAACATCATCGTCACACAACCGCGGTGGGATTCCACGACCGAGCCCGGGACGGGCCCCGTCGCACGCGCTACGCCTCCCCGATCTCGCCAGGGGTTCGATGTCCCCATCCCATCCGGGGTCTCAACCTGCGGACGACCCGAGGTTCGTGTCTGACGACCATCGCGGCGCGCCCATCGCGGTACCGCGCGGCCTCCGCGGACGATGTCCTGACTGCGCGACCTCGTGGGCGCACCACGCAGATACGGCGCACACACGAAGGGGACGAGTCCGTCGTACTCGCGACCCCGCTGGCCCCGGAGATCGCGGCGCATCCCGACGCGTGCGTGGCCCTCTCTGTGGCGGCCCGGCTCATCGGGTAGGGCGGTCATCACGAAGAGGATCGAGTAAGCTCGACGGAGCAGTGCGACGCGTAGCTCCGCTCGCGTCCAGCGATCCGTACATGGCGGACCGGCGGGCGACGGCAGATAGCGGCGCCCGGGTGTAGTAGGAGGCACGCAGCGCGGACTTTCCCGGTCTGCCGGGCCGAACCGCCGTCGGCCTGGGCCGGCTGGCCGCGTGAATCTAGGGGCGACTCCGCGTGTGCCGGAGTGATTCTTTCGTCACCGAAGCATCAGGAGGCACGCGCATGCGCGAGCGCCGGACACTAAACCATCCGGGGCACAGTCGGCCGGCGAGAACACGCACGGGGGCATGGGAACCGTCTCGTTCTGTATCATTTCCTAGGCCATACCTAGAAGCCCCAGCCCTCTAAGACCACAAACCCCTACCCCAGCCCCATCCGGAACCTCCCACCCTCTTAACTAACGACACACCCACCACAACATCCAAACACCCCACATAACCACACCACCCCTACTCAAGCACAGCAACCAAACTGACCCCACCGAGCAGAAAAAGAACCCCAAACAACCCACCACGACGGCCCCCCCAGAAAAAGCCCACGGGACAGCGCCCACACTGGGAAGAGCGACCACACCAGCACCACAAACATACCCACCCGCCGCCAGTCCCTCAGCAGTCAACAGCCCGCACAAAAACCCCCACTACAACCCACAACAAACAACAATCCATAAGAGCCAACCCAAGCAGGACAGCCCGCCAGCAAACACACACCACCCCCCCCACCCAAAAAAAAAGATCCACCCAACAAAACCCCAGCACCCCGAGAGAACCAAAAGCCCACCGCAAAACACCACCCCCCCGCCGACAACCCCAACACCCACCACACCAAACCCCCACCACCACATCCCCGCCCCACCCGACCCACACCCAAGAGCCAGGCCCCCCCACACCCGCGGACAGCCACCGACCCACCACCACCACACAGAACCCAACATGCCCAAAAATTAGGCGACCACCCCCAAGCCAACGTTGCACCGGAAGACGAGCCGCCGAGCGGCAAACCCCAACCAACCGACAAGCAAAAACAAAACACTAAACCACAAAGGAAACCGAAGCTCGTCGAGCAAAGCCGAACACAGTACAACCCAAACTAAACTGCCAAAGGCACACCTCGCAACACCCGACAACGACCACCCCGAGGACCAACTTAAATGAATTGACCCCGGACAACCCCCCACCCCCGACCCCCCACAAACCCCACACACCACCCCCCCCCCAACGACCCCCCCCCACCCCCCCCGCCACACCCCCCCCCAACCCCCCACACCCGCCCAACGCGCGCAATCCCCCCCTCCCCCCACCCCCCACAACCCCCACCCCACCCCCCCCCCACCCCACCCCGCACCACAACACCCCCCACCCGACACCCACAACCCCCCCACACACCCCCCCCCCGCCCCACCCCCCAAGACACACCACCCACCCCCCACCCCACCACCAACACAACACACCCCCCGCACCCACACCACCACCACACCGCCCCCCACAACACCCACCCACCTCCCGACCCACACCCACCCCCCCCACACCACCCCCCCCCCCCCCCCACCGAACCCCCCCCCAACCCCCACCCACCCTCCCCCCCCCCCCCACCAACCACCACCTCCCCCCCCATCCCCGCCCAGCGCCCCACCCCACCCCCCACCCACACAACAAAACAACGAAACCCAAAGTCCACCACCCCCCCCGCCCCAGACCACACCCTCCCCCCCCCCCCACCCCCCCGACAACCACCCCACCCCCCCCACCCCAAACCCCCCCACCCCCCCCACCACCACCCCTCCCCGCCCCACCACCCCAGCCCAAAACCCCAACCCCCCACACCACCCCATCCCCACCCTACCCCCCCCCCACCCCCCCCCCCCCCCACACAGCAACCCCAACCCACCCCACCCCCCACCACCCCCCCCCCCCCCCACACCCCCCCCCACCCCACCCACCCCAGACCCCCACCCCCCACCCCCACCCCCCCCCTCCCCCCCCAACCCCCCCCCACCCCCCACCCCCCCCACCACCCCCCACCCCACCCCACCACCCCCCCCACCCACCCACCCCCCACCCACCACCCCCCCACGCCACCCACCACCCCCACGCCCAACCACCCGCACGAGCACGCGATGCAAAAACAACAAAAGGCCCACCCACCCCAAGACCACGCAACTGAACCCCCCATTCATCCCGGAACCTCCCACCAAACCCTACCCACCCCCCAGAACAATGCACCCCCAAACGCCCCACACCTACCAACCAAACACAACCACAAAACAGCGCACCCTCGGACCCAGCAAAGGAGCGAACCACGCACCCGCAACCCCACTCCACCCACAAACTACACCAAGAAGCAGCCCCACAAGAACAAAATCCAGCAACCACCATGTACTTACCCGTCCCCACGCAACGACGCAAATAAGAGGCAGGCCCAACACATCGGACCACAGCGAGACCCACAACAACCCGACCCCCCCCCTCACCACTAGCACAACGACCTTTACACGGTAAGAACCCCCGCGACGACACCGACACCAGCGCAGACCACCAAACTCCAACACATACACGAAGTAAAGCGCCACGCACATCCACGGCAAACGTGCACCACCCCACGGCGCCAGACAACATCCCAAAAATACCAACACGGACCCGCAACTAAAACGACCGAAGCCAGCACTGCACGAAGCCCGCAACCAAGGATTGGAAGAAGGGCCACCGACACGAAAATAAGATACCCCGAATCACACACAGGAACAGCACCCCCCCCACCCGAACGACGCCAAACCGGAACCAACACCCGAACCCCCCAGAAAAGCCCTTACCAAAAAACCCGCACGACATCAAAACAACAGAAAAACCAACCACCCCGTCCTAAGCGCAACACAACCGAGCGCTCAGAACCCCAAACAGCACCTGCCACAATCCGCGGGCACCACCACGACCACAACTCAGCCCCCAACACCCACGCACAACATCCCCAACCCACGACCCGCCCCCCGGTACCACAGGAACACACCCCGTGAAAGCAAAATCCCACGACACCCCAAGGAACCAGTGAAATAACCCCACCCCCAGACCCGCCACCCACCACCCCGCCCCACCAAGGACTACAAAGGAAGGAGGACAGTACGCACCAGCGTCAAAACGACCCCCGGAATCACAGCACCCCCGCAAACCACACCCAAACCCACCCAAAACCCCACACACCAGGAATTCAGCGAAACCAACCCACGAACCCCGACATCAAAACCAAAAAACGAAAGGCGAATTGCGAAGAGGGAACAACACCCAACCCCCCACCCCCCCCACCAACAACACTCCACCTCCCTCCCAACACCCCCCCACCAACCCCCCACAACCACCCCAACCCACCTCCGCCCCCAGCACCCCCGCCCCCCACCCCCCCCCGCACCCCCCACCCCCCCCCCCCCACGACCCCCCCCCCCCCCCCCACGCCCCCCACCCCCACAAAATCACTAACCCTAGAAGACCCTAGTAGAAGAATACACTTATACAGGCAGCGACAATGCGGCGAGTACGTGCGCATGCGCGCGCTTGGCCGCACCGGTGCGTAGCTAGCTAAGACATGGCGGAGGCCAAGAGAGCTGCACTGGTGGTAAAGTACGGACTAACAGAGGCCGAACTGGCGCAGAAATGTTCCGACGATCACATGCTGGATATCGGCGAATTTATATCCTGGCAAGACGTGGGTCCGCATCTTCCGGATATTAGTAAAGACGACGTCAAGGACGTACACAAGGACGGGTTTGACCAGACGGACAGGAGACGGAGGCTGATGAGCTTGTGGGAGGAAAGGAACGGAGAGGATGCCACGTACGATGCGATGATAATTGCGATGACAAAGGCGAGGAAAAACGACGAGGCCGAAAGAGTCTGTAAGGTAGATGTTGGTATTTTGAGCCACCTAAACTTTCTTCTTAATTTTTCCTCCAAATACCGGTGAACTAAAGTGAAATTTATGTTACATGACTATCAAGACATGGCGATTCTAAAAATCAATCATTTCGAATATATTCATAGGATGCACAAATATTTGTTTTAATAACCCTCTAAAACCATCAATTATATTCATTAATTGTATTATGAGTCGACTTAAAACGTATTCTTTGATGAATCAAACATTCCCAGCGTGTTTCACAAAATTACTTAGATAACAAAAACCAAAAAACCACAAAATTAATCATAATTTGACCAAAACATTCATTTTAAACCTCCCCCAAATTAAACCCTTTGAGTCAGTGATGCACACATTAACATTAAATAATACTGGTAGTTGACATGTGCTATATATGACTTGGTCAGACAGGCAATTTTGAGCCAGCAAAAAGCAAAACGTTGACCGAGCATGTGATCTGCTGAAAGGTGTATGCTTTCACGCCGTTTGATCTTGCATGCAACCCCTAACATAATGAAACAAATCATAAATACACACATGTACAATCGGCTATGGTATGCTTTCAGAATTTATCAGTGTGGTTGCAGTTGTGGACACTGAACTGCCGAAACTTCGGTTCAGCAAAGGCTGCCGAGACGTGCAGCAACACCTTGCTGGCGTTGACTGCAGTCACAGGTCTAATGAACTTGTTCCCAGGGACTCCCCCTCGATTAGCAGCTTCTCGGTCGAGTTGGGTAGGAGAGCACTCACGGAGAAGTTGAGCACCAGTTGACCCATGCTGAGGTCCTCGCTGATGAGAACATGGTCAAACAGCATGGGTTGAAGGTCGCGTCTTCTCAGCTGCAAGTCATACCCGATGCCCTGTGTCGTGACTACAGACCGGCTAAAACAGTTCTCCACCCACTGTCCAAACTCTTGGTACCTGCAAGAGATACCCAAAGAAAGTGTTATGAAAAGTTAACGGAGGAAGCACAACTTTGATATTACAGTATATACTTTATACAGTAATACAAGGTGTAATATTTGAGAGAGTGCAGCTTAGGTATGGGGTTTCTTCGTTTTATCTATTGGTTTTTGGTTTGTGTAGTGCCACACAGAGAATACTGTAGCTAGAATGATAAACAAATTGGATTGCTTCATTTACTACCTGGGTCCCCATTGGCCCTTGCATTGGTTTGTGTCTGACTGACTGACCTTTGGAAAGAGGCTTCCTCGATGAGTCCAGAGCTGTTGGCCGGTGCATTGAGGAGGAGGTTGGTGTTCTGCCCCACAGTATGGTAGTAGACCTGCTGCAGGTCAGAGAGACTGCGAATGGGGTGGCCAGCTCTCCAGAACCACTGGTCAAACAGTTGGAGTGTGGTGTCCGACTCTGCCGGGCAAAAGTAACCACCTTTTGGACTTCCGTGAGAACTTTCGCAGTCGACAGAGGAGCTCCAGATTGGATAGGTTTGCAACCCACTCTCTGTCCCTACCCACCTGATTACATTGTGGAGGTTTGCAGTGCAGCCTTGGAAGTAGACTGCGTGGGGTTGAGTGGAGACAAGCAAATCTCCGATGGTTTGGCTGATGCCACGGCACACGAGCAGGCTCCGTCGAACCAGATCTCGGACAGCTCTCCATAGTTAGTCCACAGCTCTCTCATCTGAGCCAGCACAATCTTATTGTACAGGTCCTGGGTCACCTTTGCTTGTCCGGGGATAAGCGAAGTGTTCAGCACAGCACCGTGTGCAGAATTGAGGTAAAAGTTCTGGTTGAGGCTGTAGTAGATGCCCGGCTGAATCCCGTACTTTGCGCACGCGGATACGAAGTCCTTCACGACGTCGTAGTTACCTCCGCGGAAACTCGAGTACCTGGTGCTGTAGGTGTAGTTGAAGCCCGTCTCGTCGTAAACGTCTGTAGGCCACATGCTGAACCCGCCGCAGTGCTGAGCCGTCAGCACCGCGTACTTGGCTCCCATCGCCACTGCCGTCCGGACCCACTGCTCCACGTCGAGCATGTCCGGATTGAAGGTGTCCGGAGACGGGAGCCACTTGGCGTCTCCGCCAACTCCGATGCAGAAGTACTGGGTGTTGCTGACGTTGGCGAGCATGGTGATCATGTTGAACGAGAAGAAGGCGCCCACCTCTCTCTTCGTCCACGCCAGACGTCGGGAGGCGGTATGGCGGAGATCCGAAGTAGGCATCCACGTGGACGCTGCAAATTACGAGCAAAGAAGCGACACAGCAGGGAGAGAAGCAACAACGCATTGTGGGCTGCAAGAGGACGCACGGGTTTGTGGGCGTAGCTAGCTATAATTGTTGTGTAGGTACGCATGCGCAGTTTTGCAGCGACACGTGACCGAGCAGCGTAAACAAACCAGCTTACACACACGACACCTGAGCAAGCCCTGTGCAGCAGCTAAACACTACCCGCCCGGGGAGACATGTCCGACGAGGTCGACGGAGGTTGTGAGTTGAACCTCTCTGCCACACCAGAGGATGCCCAATCTCCCCACGTATCTGTAAGAAGCTACCTAGATTCTTGAGGAAGGGTAGCTATGCTATTCTCGCAGAGCCTGTTCTGGGCGACAGTAACGGGCCTGAAGTCTCGAGGCGGAGACGGAAAGATGCTGATTTACAGCTACATCGACTCCACAGTTGCCGCCGTAAAGACGAGGGTCGGTTCGTTGGAGGTGTGGGTGCAGGAGGAAATCCGACACATCTGGAGCATAGTCGATGCCATACGTGGGCGCCTCGCCAGGGTGGAAGAGAGAGGGGACGGGACTGCCGACGCCAGGCTCACCGAGGTTCTGACAGAATTGGCGCTGGTTAGACAGCAAGTGCAAGGCCTGGAGCAGCGGGTAGCCGCCATGGAGCAGCAGCAGCTGGAGGGGAGAGCCGCCATGGAGCAGCAGCAGCTGGAGGGGAGAGTGAAGAGCTTAGAGGATACAGCAGAGGAAGAGGAGTTGGAAGATAAGCTCCTATGCATCAATAAACGTCTAAGCAAATTGGAGTATACTCAACAGCAGCGGGAGCAGCTCAACAATGCTCAGTGATCAAACAAAAACAAAATTGAAAAACTGTCATTGCTGTGCAATGGATGATGTATACGCCCATTTGAGAGCATGAATTATGTATATATTATTGTGAATTTAAAAAGCCTGCTGTTTATACGCTAAGCAGTTGCAATTCCATGGGAGTGAGCTCTCCAAAAGTCCTCTCCCAGCAGACCCTTTGGCTGGGGAATTCTCCCGGTCGTGATACATTTCTCTAGGAACAGTTTCAGTCTAGTCAGAGGACCTTGCTGAGCCACTGGGGTGACCTTCTCCATACTACGGGAGAGGAGGGGAAGGGGGAGAAATGGAGGACTATAGGTTCGCAATATGTCACACGAAGGAACGCAACACACACAACAATTATATAGCATGCCGTGTGCCACAGAGCAACAATTTCTAGCCGTGTGCAGCTATCTGCGTGGCTGTACCTACTAAAGCTGTCTGTGTGGCTGTACCTACTAAAGCTATTTGCGTGGCTGTACCTACTAAAGCTGTCTGCGTGGCTGTAGCTAGAAACTGACCGTGGTACGTACTGCTTGCATATGTAGTGGAGCACTTTCCGAAACTGTTTCCCGTACTCTCTCATCAGAGCATAGCCTGCAATCTGTAGGGAGGTGGACAGGGAGACACAGATCAATACTCCTCCATACACACATCCTCTACACTTGTGAAAGAGCAAAAATTACACCTCGAGCGTACACTCTTAACAGCACATTATTGCGGCCTATTTGGGGTGAGATTGGAAGCGAGACGTGCAGCAATCCAGTGTAGCAAGCTATCGATCCATGTTAGTATGTACTTCTAGTACTTCATGCTCATCTACAGTACAAATGTACAGTGAACTATGTATATAGTGGAACCAAGTACACAGGCATACATATTATCTTTGCTCATCCACAGTGGCTTGTGCGACGAAAAATTGGAGGGATTTTAGCCAAACTAGGAAAATATCGTGCGTTACGTGGAGCTTACTTCCAGCAGGTCGTGAAGAGCCGTGGCCGTCAGAGATGGGTGTGGCTCCATGTTTAGGACCCTCGCTAGCCACACCCACCCGTGCTCCAGTCCGTGTCGGGTGTGGGCGTGGCTTCGTCGGAGTCTGCAGAATTGCGGCGTAGAGTCTTACGATGCCCGACATCCTCCTGAGGTAGGAGTCCTCTCCCTCCACCTGGCCGTCACTGGACACCTTGTAACCCAGCAGTCTGACAGCGAGAGGGAAATTTAGGGTATCTGAAAACTTACCAGATTGAATGTCATAATTATACGTACTTCTACGCCATAGCAATACTTGTTTTTAAGTATCGTACAATCAATGGGTCACAATCTTGTCTCAATGATATTGGTGGTCAGAAGGGCACAGAAAAGCTTGATATGATGAAAGTGTATTGTTGATATAATAGCTGGCAAGTGTGAGCAAAAACAGCCTCTTACGGCAGATTCTTCCTTTGAGCATTCGTTTTGTTGTATTTCTAATACGTCATGTAAAAATTAATGGTATGTCGTGTACCTGCATCGGTCATTATCAGACAGATCTTTGCTGGTGACGTAGAATGGAACCAGGACGGGGCAGCTGGCGTGGAAGTGGGCCAGAATGAGGTCGCGGAGATCTGGGAACGAGACGCACAGACTGACGGCCACCATGGCAAACAGGAATGCCGCGTTGGACTGCGACGACACCTGCTCATCACCTTGTTTCTGAGATGTAAAAATATCCACGTCATGTGCTAAAATTATGAACTGTCCTTCAAAATTGCTTATGGGTAGGCAATCATAACAAATCTGAGAAAACCCTTGGGACGAAACACAGTACAGTATGTACATACCACTGCAGAGTACTGTGTTGTACTGGGAGGCCTAAAGTGTAGTACTTACAACACAAGTGTGTATTGCACTACAGTGAAAGTACAGTACAGTGAGACCTCTGAATAAGGGACACCTTGGCGACATCGAAAGTGTTCTTTATTCAGAGGTGTGCTTTATTTGGAGGTAATAATGTATCAGTATGGGGCAGAACCAAGCGTCCGTTAGAGCTGTCCTTTATTCTGATTCAGAGGATTCACTGTTTACCGTGTGTTAAGGACTTACCACGATCTTCTGAGCAAGGAGGTTGAAGCAGAAGGCCCTGCCCTGTGGGTGATCGCTGGCAGACACCTGCCTCCCCGTCACCTGAACTCGTTTCCCCGACAACACAGCGTTGATCCGTCTAATCTTTTCCACCAGGTGCTCGCCGCTCTGCCCCGATATGGCGTTGATGGGTGTACAGACCGCTTTCTGGAGGTCGAACTTGTAGCGCTTGCTCTGTGCGTCTTTTGTGAGAGCCTCGCAGGACTTTGTGATCTGGGCCAGTTTCTCCTGGAGTCGAGAGTACTGTTCGACTACTGACAGAGAGATGCCCACTGTGGTGGAGGGGGGAGAGAGGGAGAGTGAGGATTCTAGATAAGCGAGACCATCCATTTGTAATGGCTTTTCATTCTCACTCTCTATAATAATCAATCATACTGCACGCACTACTAGATTGTTAACACACCCAACCTATGAGCATGCGCGACAGTTTCTGAGCCACGCTAATGGCGGAAATACATCACAGATTACAGGGGCTTTCTTGACTCACTGGGTGTAGATAAAAGTCCATCCGCACGTTGAATGTTTGTGACACTGGACACTGGACTACTCTGATAAATAGAACATCAACATACAGTAATTTTGACATTACGTCTTTTAGCAAGTACAAATCTATGACTTACCATTACAACTCTTAAGACATGCATATACCTGAGTCAGTTGTGATGATGTAGTCTTTTGAGAGGAATCTTGAGGGCTTTGTTGCTGTGTTTGTTGACTGATTTGCCGCTCCTGCTGTTGTTGTTGTTGTTGTTGTTGTCTCTTCTTTTCCCTGTCCTCTTGCAGACCTCTCTGGGAAGCCTCCTGGATGCCCGAGTTCACCTCAGCCAGCAGTGGATGAACTGACGTCACATAGGAGTGAAGGACACCCACCTGTACATACACACAGACACACACAGAGAGTCAGAAGTTAACGCTTGCGTTTCTGGAAGTGTGATAGTTTTCACAGCTCTACAAGTTTCAGAGTTAGTCCAGAGCTCACCTGTTCTTCGTCCAGGGGCTCCTGTTGCTCTAACCGAGGAATGACGGCCAACAGTATCCGACAGCCGGTCTGGTAGGCACGTGACGCGATCTCCGGTAGGAGGCGTCTGTGGGAGCAGGTGGCCAGAGTGGAATTCATCTTCTCCAGCAGAGATTGGCACTCATGTTTCAGTGACACACACTTCTGGTGCAGTTTCAGCAGAGCATGTTTCCTGGGGACGAGGTGCAGACCATGGACAGCAGCTTTGTTGCAAGTTTTACTGAAGCTAACTGAAGTACAGCTCACTTTCTCTCCTGGTTTCTCCAGGCAATCTCCTTCTCCTGCTCCTGTCCTTCTCTCAGCTTTGCCTCTAGCTCCTGGGGACACAGAACACAAAACTATAATGCCTGTTAGATTTGTACAATGGCAGTGTGTAAGAACTTCTGCCACACCTGCATGAGAATTAAACATCTCACACTTATAAAAAAATTTAAAAGAAGAAAGCGAAAAAAGGGACATGACAGGGTCCTACAATAAACTGTAGCTGCCTCTAATTCTTTACGTTTGTTCGATATCGTACGAGTGTAGCTCACCTCTCCATGTTGTCTGTATCTTTCTGCCAGCCTCTCCATCTCACGCTCCATCTTCTCCTTCCTGCACAACAAGCCACACGGGAGAAGAGGGGAAATTAATTTGTGCGATGCTATTACTAAATTCTCTGTTTACAAGACGTATAGTGTATGAGCTACAATACCACTGCATCTCGAGTGCCTCGAGTTTTGCCTTCTCCACCTCCTCTTCCCTCCGTCTCCTTGCCTGAGACTGTTCCAGGTCTTCACCAGCTTGTCTTGCCAGTCTCTCTCCCATCTCCCTACACACACACACGCACGCACGCACGCACACACACACAGATACAAAACCATGAATGCGCATGCAGTAGTGTGTACATGTAGGACAGCAGGAAAATCTGAGTACATTATACGCTGCACCCAAATATGCATACTGTGAAAAATTAACCCCTCACTGCCCCTCTAAATTAACCCCTGATGTACGCAGGGTGCTACACTAACCTGATGTAGGCAATCCTGATGGCCAGTCTCTCCTCCGCCTCTCTCTGCAACTTCTCCTCAAACTCACTCTCCCTCTCACACAGCTCCGCCTCCTGCTCCACCAACACCGACGTCTCCGTGGCAACGACAGACACAGACGGGAGCAGTCTCCACGGCAACAGGTGTGGAATGAAAAAATAAGCCGGGCGGTTCGGTGGATTCCGGAGTTGATTTTGTTAGGGTTTGACCATTGGAATAGTTTGAGATCTCGAATAATGTTTTCGGTGGTGGTGGCAGCGCTGTGGGTGATGAGGGAGGGGAATCCCCCTCTATGATTAGTTTCAGTTTCATTCTCGGGGAGGGAATATCGGGCGTTGTCTCGGAGGTGGTCTTGGTGGTTGGTTTGGCTGGGGAATCCAGAGAGAGACATCTCGTTCCCTCTGTGAGAAGCGTTGCAATGTCGGGTGAGAGAGGGCTGGGGGCAGAAATCTCAGCCAGCAGCTCCTGCGGGCAAGGGAATGGGAAAAACAATATTGGTTCTCAGAGGATCGAATAATGTTGAGCTTACTCTTCTTTCGGCCTCTGAGCTCCTGTCCCACTTTGGACTGTATGAGAGGCTCCCCTTAGGAGTCTCCTTGAGACCGTGTAGAACATTGGCAACGTCCATGACGAAGCTGCATGCAGCAGCGCTGCACTGCCGACTCGCTCTAATTTAGCGAAAGTAAAAACACAATAATTGTGCGAACGCGCCCGCGCACGCGCGTGTGCTTGCGTGTGCGAGTCAAAACGTTGCATGTTCGGAGGCCGTGCTGGAAAATGAGCTAACAGAAGCATCCAGTGGGTATGTCCAAAGGCAATAGTAGGGCAGCTCGCCCGCTGCCAGAGCTACAAGATGGCGTCTCCACCACCAATACTGGTAATATACAGCACTCCATATAATTATAGGTATCTCGTGTTCTTGTTCAATCCCATCATGTGCAGATTTACAATCAACTCCCAAAGGAAGGTAACATATCATCACACACTAACTCTTACCTCATGCTTCTTGTCTTCTCCCTCCTCCGCCGTAGTGGAAACAGGCTCCCGTCGTTACGGCCCAAACGAGACCTCACACTGGGCGGACCTCCTCCACCAAGGAACTCCAAGGTAACCCCACATCGCTATACTCACAATATCTGTATTTTCCAATATGTGGCCTGTAGAATTATAACCTCAAACTATGCTCTGTGAAATCTATTTCATCTAGGAGTTTATTCCTCCAGAATAATTTTCTTCAAGTCATATTATTATTGAATCCTCAACTTGTCTATAGAAGTGTTTTTTTCTTCTTCGTGCTTTAGAAAACTTTTGCACCTACTATTCCCGTGAGGAGGAAGAAGGTGGCAACTGAACCTGTCGTGCCACCATCACCTGATGGCGCACGTCGCCGCAGAGAGAGAGGGAAGGGGAGGGAGAGGGGGAGGGGGAGAGGGAGAGGGAGAGGAGAAGAGACAGGGACATTGTCACGTCTGCCTCAGTCTTCTCGATGGGACCTGCTGAGAAACTAATGCAGAAAAGAGGTGGGCCAGAGAAATCTAAAGATTTCATAATCTCGATGAATCATCCTCTTCTGTTTGTAGAGTCGATGGGAGGGACTTTTGGGAGTTTCTCGCGGTCGGAGAGGTCAGAGAGGTCAGAGAGCTCAGCGAAAACGTAAGAAATTTACCGTAGTACTGGGACATAGCATGCAAGAGGGCGTGGAGCAGTTTTGCATATATCAAAACCACTAGCGATTTTCTAAACAACTATATACCCCATCTTGTGCTACAAATAGTCGGAATTTAGATCTCTTTGAGGAGGCAATATAGCACGTTGATAACATGCAGTGATTGGGGCTAAATTGAGGCTAATTAAAAGGGAGCTAGACAGTTTTGAGGGAGACAAACTGCTCTTCTTGTGCTCTCTCAAAGAGAATATCTGGAGTCTATGTATTGTATGAACTATTTTAAAAATATCATCTGTGCAGGAAGAGAGAGGAACCAGACAACAGATATCATCTCCATTACTCTGACGAAGATGAGGGGGTGGAAGAGAGAGGGGGTGTGGCGTCGGCCGAGGGAGGTCACATGATGTTCAGAGACTCCAAACTGCCACCAATTCAGCTGCCCCTGGACTACTCTGTCCATTCCAGACGCACGGCTGTCACCACTAAGAACAAGATAGGTGAGTCGCCTACACACACCCTACGTTTGTATATACGTGTTGGTTTTTGCTTTTTTTGCTTGAAGGTTTGTATGTTTTGTGCCTGCTCATTTCATGGGAGGGTGAGAGCTATGGTTGTTGGTGTTCCTTCATTCAGCTCGTGTGCTATGCAATTTTCGTGCATGCAAAGCTGTAAAATTCTCGTTTCCTCATGTTATTGGAGGGATTGAAGCTAGCATAAAGCAAGCAGGTTCACGTTCATGTTATTTTGTCTCAATGTCTCAGTCAAGCAGGGGGTGGAGGAAGATGCCAGTGGACCGCCAACATGTCGTGTAAAACTGGTAAAACCAGTTAGTGAACCTGGAGCCGCCAGTACCCAATCCCAGCCAGAGAGAATGACAGCTGCAAAACTCTTCACTCCTTCAGAAGTATATACTACATACATACATACAGGCACAAACTGAGCATAGTTCCCAATCATTATATTCCCAGGGTTCAAAAGGACAGTTCCTCTTCTTCCAGCTGCCCGACTGCCTCCCTCTTGAGAGAAGCGACGTTGCTATGGATACCAGTGAGGCCCCGCCCATCCAATCAACAGCAGCGTCGTCTGCTACAACTCCCGCTGAAAAGAGAGATGACGAGGTTTTTGCTCGCTATATACCATGTTTTGCCGGTCCATCTTTATCCCACAGGCCCTACCAAGTCTTAGGGATCTTCCTGATGGACATATTGGTAAAATCAGAGTGCATGAGTCAGGCAAAGTCAAGTAAGTATTGTTACATGCATCTCATTAATACTAGGTTGAAATTTGAACAAGTACAATTTTCGCCAGGGGTTTGAAAGCAATTTGCAATTATCAGCAGGGTCCAGGGGCAAAAGGTTTTAGCTAGCTCAAACATTGTCAAAGTTATCTCCCGTGTCATCAAACTCTTTTTATTGCCTCTCATTTCAGGCTTGTTTTAGGTGATAACACGTTGGACGTGACCATGGGAACACCGACTGGTTTCCTCCAAGAGCTGGTCAGTATTCGGACGACGCAGGGAGGGGAGGAGGGAGATGGAGGGGAACCTCGTATGACCGTCCTTGGCCAGCTAGCCCACCGCCTCATCTCTACTCCTGATTTCGAGTCACTTCTCATTAGTAATAGCAGGGTGTCTGCTGCCGCCACTAATAACTGCTATGATTCATCAGCTTCATCTGATCAACAGTCCAGATAGCATTCAATCTTAATCTGGTGTCCCTATGTCTCATAGCTGCTGTTCCGTTTCTGTTCAGTTAGTTATGTCCCGAGTTGCGCATGCGCATGCGCGTGTTTCTAGCCCCACCCACTTTTGCGTTGCACCACTCGTGGAAATTAAAGCTGGCGAGCTGGGGTGGTATAATTAATTATACGCGGCGTTATAAAAATGCACTTTCTCTGGACAGAAACTCATCTACTAGTGCCTGAACTGGAGCTAGAATATGGCGGAGAATACGCCGGTCAAGGACAAGCATCCCGAGGCCTTCTCTCCCTACGAGAAGATGCCGACGGACACGAACGGCTGGACATCACGGCACCTGGACGCTATCAAGCAGTGGGTCGCCCTGGAAAAGATCCACGGGGCCAATTTCTCGTTCACCGTCAGTGCCGAGACCCCGGGGGGCGAAATTGGCCCTGCGAGGGCTGCAAAACGGACCGCATACCTAAAAGAGGGAGAGAACTTTTACGGGCTGTGTAAGAACCGGGCGTTGCTGGAGGAGGAGGGAGAGAAGACCAGGAGACTGTTTAGCGCCGTCAGAGAGGGCCACTGCAGTGACGTCTCCTCAGTTACCGTGTTTGGTGAACTATTTGGAGGTAAAACTTACGTAGGTGCTCCGCACAAGATCAGTAGTAGTAAATGGGACCTCGAAGTGTGTCCTATTTTGTTAATTGTGTCCTGTATCTGAGGGGAGGAGGGAGACAGGGACTCCTTCATTATACTAACACAGCACCTTGTCCACTCCAGGATGGTACCCTCATCCAGACGTCCCGCAGGCCAGTAATGCCGTCAAGATCCAAAGAGAAGTGGTCTACTGTCCCGAGAACAGATTCATTGCATACGACGTGGCTGTCACGCACACTGACAACACACAAGGTGCGGACTGTACGGCGTGCTTGTAGTGGGAAATTTTACAAGTAAGGAAAAAAACTAGCTGTGCAATGATCATTACAAAATTCCACAACTGACTTGACATAATGGGCGTCCTTATTTTCAGACACTAAAGGGGGTATCTTGATCATATAAATGTTCAATTTCTTCACCCTATAACACTGTACCATTCTCAGTTTATTGTTGTGAAACTGAGAGAGGTAACAAACGATCACTGTTGTTCTGTCTGATGAGACTAACGTTGACTTGCCCACTTGTGCCTCCACAGAGTTCCTGGACTACAATGTGTGCATGCAGCTGTTCAGTAGAGTTGGCTTCCTCTACTGCGAACCACTGAAGGCAGGCACACTACAGGACATGCTGTCTCTGGAACTCGGCTTCGAGACAAAACTCCCGGTGAAATTCAACCTACCGCCTCTCGCCGACAGAAAGAACACGGCCGAAGGTGTTGTCGTAAAACCTCTCAAAAACACGGTCCTCGACACGAGAAAGGGCCCACAGAGAGTGATTTTCAAGAGAAAAGGCAAAGAATTTAACGAGCGAAGAAAGCCATGGGTTCCTCCAACTTCAGATGGTGGTAAATCTCGAAAGAAGAAGCGGGGAGATAGGGGTGAGGATCATGAACATCAGGTGAGAATTGAAACGCTGAAATACGAGTTGAATGCACTGGTGTGCGAGCAGAGGCTGGTCAACACGATCTCCAAACGGGGCGTCCCGGATTCAGAGCTGGACTGGATCGAATTGACGGAGGCTCTGGTAGCGGACGTGTTGGAGAGTGGGGAGAGCGAAAACGAGGAGCTGTGGGGGGCGTGTGGGGGCCCCTCTAATGAGGTACTTGATGGTCTTAGGGAAGAATGCCGCCAACTGGTGGAAATGTACAGAGTCAGTGAGTCTATGGCAGACGTGGCAATATGACCCAATCAATAAAGGACTATTTATTCAGACTATATCATCTTTTTTTATTTTTTATAAAGTTCGTATATATATGTTTTAAATATTTTCGCATGCTGGTGTATTGGAAGCATAGTCATGATAATTAGCTCTGTTGGTGTGATGAAAGCCACATCATAAAAAAAAAAAAGGAGGAAGTGATGTATAATACAAATCATAATACAATACCCGAAGAGGTCGTTATATAATAATAATTGTGTGAGACGGGAACTTGTTGTGGTGTTGTGTGGAAGTCACGTAGTGTCCAGTCGGATTGTCCTGATCTTCCGGTTGTGGACGAGGACGCAGGCTGCCTCGTTGGTCGCTCCGCAGTAGTGGGAGGACGAGAACACAGTTAGGAGACGGCCATTCTGCTGCAACTGGACGAAGAGGAGGAGAGATTTCAATACAACGATGTCCAAACTGTTTTCTAGGGGGACAGAGAAATGTTTCCCTCTCCAGAGAAAACTGGCCGAGTGCAACGAGGTTGTGTGAAATTGTGAAAGATATTGTATCAGACGGACACAAGAGTCTGAGGAACAATTTGCAAAGAGTCAAAAATGCTCTCCAACAGATAGCTCACCTGGAAACCAGCAGCCATACACTCGTGGGCTCTGATGACATGCGAGAGTCCGTTTCTCTTCAGAAACTGCTCCAGAGCTACAGAGCTATGTGTAGACAACAGACAAACATAATTATCAGAAACTGCTCCAGAGCTACAGAGCTATGTGTAGACAACAGACAAACATAATTATCAGAAACTGCTCCAGAGCTACAGAGCTATGTGTAGACAACAGACAAACATAGATACATACAACATGGCAGTGAAAGGAGGGGTATAGGGGTTAAATTTAATCCCTTTTTGAGGCAAAGGAAGGCAATGAGAGAGAGAGAAAATGGAGGGTCAATGAGAAATTTGAGAGAGAGAGAGATGGAGGGTCAGAGAGAGAGAGAGAGAGAGAGAAGTGAGAAAGAGAGAGAGAAAATGAGGTAAGAGAGAGAGATAGTTGAGAAAGAGAGAGAGAGAGAGAGTTCTCACTTGAACATGTGAGCTGTGCCACGGGCAAAGTTATCGATAAAACCGCAGTTCTCGTCTAATTGCTGCTCAATGACGTCATCTATTTCACAGCTCCTGCAGTGGGCAACACATACTGTATATACACATTAGACATACGTACGTACACCTTCAACAAAACCAAACATTGTGAAATTGGCTAAAACAAGGCACCTGAAGAAAGTGTATAGCCAGCCAGTCGATTCTGTTCGTGAAACTTTTTGACTTTTTCTCGATTCAGGAAAGTTTTTACAGGGACAATATACTACACTACAGTTGTATACATATTATATGTACATATTTACCGAATGGGGTCATTCCACATAATGTCCCAGGCCAGCAGGCTCTGTTCCATAGGATCACTGAGGTTGACGGGGACCTCTGCGATGGACGAGATTAGTCCGTCACCCAGGGTCGGGAGGGGAATCCCCCCGTGAACACAAAACACCTGGCAGAGGCGGGAAGAAATAGTCACCAGAATAAGTCCTCAAGCACTTTAGACGAGTACAATAGAGAGGGCTTCTAGTGAGCCACTTTATAATACCAGGACAGTTGAACAAGATCTTTTTTCTCAACCTAATAACTTGTGGACGTCACACAATTATTTATTTGTCTCTCACATAATTATACCTTCTTGTCAATGACAGCTGCAATGGGCATTGTGTCAAAAGCTTTGTTAGTTGCCTCCCACACCTCCAGCCCCAGCTCTGGACCAAACTTCTCAATACATTCTCTGCACGGGATGAGAGAGAGAGAAAGAAAAAGAGAGAGGGGGGACCAGCAGTTATCACAGCAACTAGACCACGTTGCACTATACTGGATATAAAGAAGCAGACACATGTACGATATACACACCATGTCCAGCGAGTTGCTGTAGTACAAAGCTTAGCAGCAGACACATTGTAACACGACATGTCGAGAGAGTCTAGTACAATAGCATCACATACAACGCCTTCCGTCTTACAAACAACACGGAGACAGGCAGACAGACTCATGAACACAGACAGACAGACAGACAGACAGACAGACTCATGAACACAGACAGACAGACACACCGTCTCACGAACACAGACAGACAGACAGACTCAGGAACACAGACAGACAGACAGGCAGACAGACTCATGAACGACAGACAGACAGACAGACAGACAGACACACAGTCTCATGAACACAGACAGACAGACTCATGAACACAGACAGACAGACAGACAGACAGACAGACAGACAGACAGACTCACGTTTTGTACGAGAAAGTCTCCTGCACGGCTCTGATCTCATGGTTTCCTCGAATCAACATAAACTTTGACGGCATGAGCAGTTTCTGGGCAAAGATGTAGGCCACCACCTCGAAGCCGTGTAGGCCTCGGTCGACATAGTCTCCCAGGAAGAGGAAGGAGGCCGGGGTGAGGATGGGCCCCATCCTCCACAGGACCTTCTCGAAACAGAGTAGGTCGTGGAAATTCCCGTGTAAGTCACCTGGAGGAGGATGTGGAGGAAGAAAGAAGGTTTGGAATACTTGACAGAGGAAAAGAGAGAGTGATGGTTGTGTGTACAGAAATCGGAGTAAAACAAATATTCTGCACTGCTACCGTCTGAAAGTACACACACACACACATGTTGAAGATAAACATTCCTCAAAGAATATAGAAAGTCAAAGATTCGTTCAATCTGTAGGAAGTATATACTGTATGTAAGACTCACAGAGAGAGCATCATGCCCCTCCTCTCTCTCTTCCCCTTCTTTTCCCTCTAAATCCCTCTCCATTTTCCTCCATTCCTCTTCCCCTTCTCCCCTCTCCATCTTTCCCTTCTCTCACTCACCAAGGACGTAGGTCGGGGAGCTGACTTCCAGCAGTCTGGGTTCAGAGGAGAAGATGTCCACGGCCTTACTGCACAGCTCCATGAAACACCTGGCCACCGAATCCATATCCACCGCTCCCCACGAGAACGCCGGCTTCGGCTGGCCACGCCCATTGTCCCTCAGGGCGTGCTCAAAGTAGCGAAGCCCCGATACCATCTCATTACTCTTGGATTGCTGTGGAAGACATTACGACAGACAGCATAATCCATATACTCGATTGGAACACCTATTGCGTTTATAAGTTGGGACTTAGATGCAAGCTTCTTAAGTCTCAACTCTAGAGTTAGTGAGACTTCTACTATACTGAAGACAACATAGCATTCAGCACATCTTGCTATAGTGTTGCTTCTGTATGTACACTGCGTTAATCGTTGGCCATTATCATTGGTCATTTGCTTCAAACACTTATCTACAACTGTCTAATGCCGTATATAGATACGTGAACAGTATAATGTTCAGTTCAGCTAACTGTATGTACGAATGCGCGAGCATCGTATACAGTACAAACTGTATGTACGAATGCAGTACATGTTCTCCCCACATGAGACCCAGGAGACATATCTACCGTCAGCCGGGCAGGAACGAGGAGCCAACTGTTTGTGTTGGGTGTATCCCAAACCGACCTCCTTTCACTTCTGAAGGCCGGCTCTCAAAAACAACACCCCATCTCTAATTATATATACATCCTAATACCACCGTTATGTATACTTGGAATCTTCCAAAGAAATGCATACATTTTCCCTGCATAATATCCATGCCAGCGCTTACATTACTCATGTATAGTACAGTATGTACTGTCTCTAAAAATATGCAGTATTTTAAGACACATTGTTGGATATCCCTAGGCAACTGACATGTACATATGAAGCTAGGTACTGGGGGAGCCTATACAATCCTACATGTGCAAGCAGGGTTCATACATGTCATTTGCCTAGGGATATCCAACAAATCTGTTGCAGTACCCAGACAGGACAGCATATATTTGCATCACTTGTGATACAAGAGGCCTGTTAGTATTCAAGGTGTTCACCTATGTATATACCATGGTTGGGTCAATAAGAGCATTATGAGTGAGTGAATATCATTGTGGACCTTGTCGAAGGCGTTGAGAGAGGGAAGTCTGTCGAAGCCAGGTCGTGACGCGAGGACGTTGTCCAGACTACCAGACACCATCTCCGTACCGACCAGGTCCCACAGGGTCGTCACATCCGCCACCGCCCCACTTCTTCTTACCTGGTGAGAGAAGGGTTAAAAACTAAACTTGAGCTAGACCTTTTGTACTTTGTTAGCGAGGGAAGGACAGGTCAACCAACCATCCTGAGTACCTTGACTATAGCTGGAGAGTGCAGTGCAAAAGGGTGGCCTAAACTTTCTGCAACAAGATAGAGGGAAGGACATGCCAACTAACGATCCTCAATACCTGGACTATAGCTGAAAACTGACTCTGAAATATAGCAGTGTGGCCTATTGCCCTTTAAAACTGTAACTTTTGAATGATGTGTACCAAAAAGCTGTAAGAAAAACGATACGAGAGCGTTGAGAGGAACTGACCTTTACGAAGTGGGTTGCGATGGAAAACCCGTCTCCCTCCAGTCCAGACAGAGCCCCCAGAGCAGCGTCTTCCTCGCTATCGTCTTCCCCCCTCACCCTCACGGCCGGCATACCCGCTGGCAGCGTCTCGTTGGGATCAATATTCATTGCCTCTTCCCCCTCCCTCTTCCCCCCGTCCACCTCCTCCCTTCCCCTCCCCACCTCCATCCCTCCCTTCCCGTCCTCCTCCTCTTTCACCGTCGGCCCTAGACCAGCAAAACTAACTTTCTTCTCCGTTTTTGGCGACTTATCCGCCTGTTCCTTCAGCTGGTCCCCAGGGGTCGGGGTAGCTACTCCAGAGATCGGGGTAGCTACTCCAGAGAGCGAGGTAACTACCCCGGGGCCAGGCGACAGTTCTCTCACTCGGGTCTGTTGCGTCCTCGCGGTCTTCAGGACGGGGGAACGAGGAAGACGGAAGAGGACGGAGGTCCCACGGAACTTTAGTTGGCCCACGACGAAGAGAAACCTGGCCAGCGGTATCCCCTCGTCTCCCGGGACCTCGAAAATCCTAAAAATCAACAGATGGGAGTGACAATTATTAGTAAAAACTATGTTCAGTATGCTTTGATTTGGACCTCACATCTATAAATGGTAACAATCAGATCTACATACTAACGTATGGCACATTGTGTCTCGCTATTTAAGGGCTTGTTAAGATTTGATTGACCAGTTACATATCCCATGGTTGATTCCACATGCTAAATGACCAGTGCCCTAGAGGGCAGTGCACAGTAGCTACAGTGTCGTATCATAATTACATCGTGCTACATCAGGGCGTGGCGCAGTAGTCTTTCGAGGGATATGAACAAAACTTGCACCAAAGATATCCCCACAAATTTCAGTGCAATTTGTTCACATTAGACGTACAGATGAATTTAGACCCCAAAAAATTTTTACTCATGTCTCCAGCTATGTATGGTCTAGGCCTTAATGTATGGAGGTCATTAGCTTGCGTGACCGGTGTTTGTGAGTCAGTTCAGGGCTGCTAGAGTACACTCACTTCCAGTTGTCCTGGGCTGCTAGAGTACACTCACTTCCAGTTGTCATGGGCCGACTGATCAACTTCCTCGTCTGACAGCTCCACTCTCTTGCCAGCACATATGTCCCTCACCATCTCCCTGGGCATGCAACACATCATCAGACGATAACGCAGTAAATTTGGGGAATGAAAGTTTACTGTGAAATCTCGTGGGGGACCACGGTCCAGAGAAAATCGGCGAAAATCGTTCTTGTAAACAGTACACATCACAGTTTTGTCTCTCAAAAAAAGTGTATGCGTATCAAAGTGGAGAAGGAAGCTCTATGTATGTATATTATATGGATATTGTAATCTGAGGTAATATGGTGAAGAGAGCTATCCGTGGCTGGCAATGCGCATGGACTTTAAAACTCACATACAGATGTGGAGGATGAAGCTATGCATAGACACATGCAGTAAAATAATACCTGAATTCAGAAAAGCTGAGGGTTCCGGTACGCGAGGTGTTGTAGAAGGAGAAGATGAACTGACATCTGAACTGGGCACTCAGCCCTCCGTGAGGAGTACTAGGGTCTAGTGCACACAGGCCAACCTGCACACACAGCATTGGGCTGTAGTAAATAGCATTGACTCTGTAGTAAATACTATCACGACATAATGAATTGACTTGGTGCCTTACATTGGGCTGTAGTAATCTAGTGTACAAGACAATGCATTGTGACTTAGTAAATACTCTACCAAGAAATATTGACTTAATGCTAGACTATGATGGCTGACTTAGTACCAAGACATGATGACATCATGCTAGACTATGATGGCAGGGCAGCTGGTGCACACACAACTCACCGAGAGTTCTTTGAGCGAGATTTGATTCGAGTCAGCAGAGCCAGTCAGTGTTCTGAAATATGTAGATATGACAACAATTAAACAGAACATGTGGCGATACACGCAACCATTTGTGCACGTCAACAACAAGGTCAGAGCAAATCAAAGGCAAACAAATCAACTACACCCAGGATGGCGCATTTTTTCCAGGGAAAAACAAAGAGCTACTCTTGGTATTTAGCAACTAACATTACATAATGGCAGGTTCAAAATACTTAGGTGATTTCAGTCAAGATGAACGAATGTTGACCAAATTTCCAGCTATGAGGTATAAAGCATGCTGTGTGAGAGTGTCTGTGGGAGAGTGTGTGGACCCACCTGAAGCACTGTGGACACCTCTCCAGAGGGTAACCCAGCGACGTGAGTAGTTTGGTGAACTGCTCCTGGTTCATAGTCTCTCCTTCCCCTCCACATCGCTGTCTGTACTCCTCACTGATCTGGGACAGCTCTACATACACCGGAGCTTTAATACCCAGTGTATAATACATTGTGTCGTATTGTATGTGTAAGAGCATCAGTGACGTGTGTGTTATGCGTAAGAAGCGCTGTTTTTGACCAGTTTATTCAAACTCTCAGTTGAAATAGAAAGTTAGTGGATCAAGTGTGAGTTTATACACTGACAGACTTATTTATCAACCCACCCTCTCTCTCTACCGAGGATGTCATGAACTAGGATGCATGAGAGTCAGTGGGATCTCATGAGGGAGGTGATCCATTATTCACGGATTATGAGGGCACTTGATGTCTGCTAGTGCTCGTCAAAATGGAATCATGAGCCCCCTTTCTCCCTCCCTCCCTCCCTCACCATGATTGGTGTATCCAGACTGCTCCAGCATCTGGTCCTCAAGAGGCAGCTCCTCTCCTACCCCTGGCTCCCCCTGTCCTTCCCTCCCCACACCCATCTCACTCTCCCTCCTCCTCATCCCTCCTCCACCACTATACACAACACAATAAACTCTGCTAATACTCACACTGTTAGTGAAGAAAGCGTGCGTAAAATGTAGACTTTTCAAATACTGAGAGATTATTCATCTCTAAGGAGGTGTTGGACATACCAAGACAAATTAGGCAGGGCGACCTCGGCAATTTGTTAGACAATTAGCTAAAGTGTCTTGTTAGGGTCACAAGTGCATAGCAGGGTACAGAATATACATACTTCGAAAACACTTAGCGTTAGAGCAATATAGGGAAGAGAGGGAAGGGACAGGGCGAAGAGAGAAGAGAGAGAGAGAGGGCCAGGGAAGTGAGCGAGAGGGGCGACAGAGTAAAGACAGAGAAACATACACACCTCTTCCTTGCTCCCTGAACGTCCAGACACTCCACGAGGGAGACGGGGTAGATGGCCGCTCCACTGTGCACAGACTGAACCAACAGTCTCACAGCGGTGTCCACCACAAACGAAGACAGTCCCCTCAGCTCAGAGAGGGAGACCCACTTTAACGCCATGCTGGGGGCACCGAGGTTCGGCTGTCCCGCCAGCTTCTCGGCCAGAAATGTCACCACCAGTTTCTCAGTGTGTCTGACTATCTTCCCAGTTTGGTGCTGGATTTTGACGACTCCTTGGAGCCCGCAGTTCATGCAGAGGGTCTGCGCGGAGGGGAAATCCGTCACTAACGATGCTCCTTTAACGGGCTTGTTCGCTGCTGCTGCTGCTATACACACCAGATAGTATACATACAAGTGTGCATACCTCAGTGATGCATCGATGTGCCGCTGCAGCAAAGTCTTCGTCCGCTTTTACTCGGCTGGACGGGAGAAGGAGTTTCTTGCTGGGCGTCTCCAAGAAAAGGAATCTCTCCTGATCACGCACCACCACCTGAGCCTGACTATCCATGGCTGCCGGACACACGGCAAAAACCGGCCTTTTGACTTTGACTTTGCACGAAAGAAGGGGAAAGTCCCTAAGTTTCGTACGAAATTTCGCGGCTCGTGTAAATCGATCAGTCGTAGCTTGATTTACGGTATTGGATCGTTTTGGCTCGCGGGCTTTTGGAAACCGTCCAATCAGATTTCTTCCCGAGGGACCAATCAGATCCCGAGGCGAAGACTGGCGGCAAAATATAAAAGACGGTGACACCTCCAGGTGCTTCATCAGTTCTCACTTTCTTCTTTCTCAGCGAATCGACCGCCGACCGAAGACATGGCTCGTACCAAGCAGACCGCCCGCAAGTCCACCGGAGGCAAGGCCCCGAGGAAACAGCTCGCCACCAAGGCCGCTCGCAAGAGCGCTCCCGCCACTGGAGGAGTCAAGAAGCCTCACCGCTACAAGCCCGGAACCGTCGCCCTCCGTGAGATCAGGCGCTACCAGAAGTCCACCGAGCTCCTCATCCGCAAGCTCCCCTTCCAGCGCCTCGTCCGCGAGATCGCCCAAGACTTCAAGACCGACCTGCGGTTCCAGAGCTCCGCCGTGATGGCTCTGCAGGAGGCCAGCGAGGCCTACCTGGTGGGACTCTTCGAGGACACCAACCTCTGCGCCATCCACGCCAAGAGAGTCACCATCATGCCCAAGGACATCCAGCTGGCCCGCCGAATCCGTGGCGAGAGGGCCTAGACATTTTCCTTTCTTTCTTTTTTTTCTTCAACCGGCTCTTCTCAGAGCCACCACACCTCCAAAAGATAACTCTAAAGTGTCTGCCATATTTTATATCATCACAGCCTGTCTATTTGCCTTGCTCCATCTCTAGCCTCTTATGTCATTTCCCGCCATTTCCAATTACTGCTCACTATCAATCTTCGTATAAAAACAACCGAGCCACTTACTGAAGAAATTTCGAATAAATTTGCGCTAATGGCGTCAAGCAGCGACAGGGGACGGTGGCGTATCGAAACCGGTACCACTATGGTCACCGATCAAGAGTTCGAGATGCATGTACTCTGTATCAGCAGGTCGAAGCTAAAGTCTTCCATGGGAACTTCCACACTACTGGCTGGCTTTGCGTTGGTAAGTCAGTGGGAGTGAGAACTGGAATGTAGTATATACGCAGTAAATTTTATCTAGGTCGCTATGGTGGAAGCTGAAGTAGGCAAAGGAGCTCCCCCTGCGCTGCTCATTCCCTTCGCCATGATAAACGCCCTCCTTATCTGCGTCCATCTTCTGTCGATCGTGGTGGCAGCCCGTCTACTCCCGGAGCTGGACGCTATCATGGCACAACCGCACCTCATCACGTTTGCAGGCCATCTCTACAAGGGCTGGCCCGTCCAATTCTGTTGGTTCTTGTCCAACATGATAGGCACGATTCTCTTTCTAGTGGAACTGATTCTGGTCGCCTATGTGAAATTTTACGCCCCTCTGTCGGATGCCAAGATCCACAGTGGAACAGGGACACTAGCGGTAGTTGTGGTCCTCCTAGCTGTGAGTGCACCTCTTCTCATAATTTTCTCCTACTCTATTTCTAAGAAAAAGATGTGGATGCACGAGCAGAGGCTGGCCGGAGCAAGAAACATTCTCGCGACTATTCCACGGGATATGTCTCTGGGTGGCTCCAACAATAACCTGTCCTACTCATCACTGACCAATAACCGAAGTCACTTTTATAGTCGTGATTCTAGATCAGTTGACATTGCGGATGAAACTATTGTATGACAGTCATTTTACCGTCACATCTTTCATCGCATCAATAATCAGCAGTATCTCACATCACTGGAATGCATGTTTACTTGTAGGTTTTGTAACCCATTTGTTGCCTGGCGACAATGGAATGTCCGCAAATGTGCGCGCTGCATGCAAGACCGTTTTGCATACGCAGTAGATGAAACGCAGCGTGCACACGAGAGTCCCAGGATCAGGAGCGTCGAGCCCAAGCTCTAAGACAAAGCAAGTTCGTTGTGCAACGAGCGAGGTGGACTGCCAGCATGCAACAGAAACGTACTGGTATGTATATAGGAGGCTCGTGAATACCTTTGCCTGCTTGCTCGCGAAAATGCTTGGTATGCCTGCAGCTTCTCTCCCGATATTCAACCGGGGCAAGCGGCCCCGTCAGGCTCTGCTCACGCATCCAAACAACGTGGACGGAGTCAGCAGCTCGCAGGAACAACGGCGGCAAGATTCTTGCTGGGATAATTCTTCGTCATGCAGCAGTGGGCAAGTCCAGCCAAGATGGGACCAGCCAAGGTCGGCTATGCTGCATGCACTCAGTTATGCCTACTTTTCTTTTTTTTTCTGTTCGATGTATGAACGGAATTATTCTTTACAGTCAGTCTACTCAGAGATACAATACATCATCTTCCATGAACCCCAGACCACAGAGAAACTTTTCTACACCTGGGAGAATGACAAGTGGCAGCTACAGCTTTCAGAAAAGCAAAGAAAACTTCCAAACTGCACCTTCCACCAGCTCAAAGCAGCATTACCACACTAGTGCCACCAACCCTCAAACTATGCTGTCACATTCTAGTGGAAGCAGAGCACAGTCCAGCTACCCACGCAGAGCTGAACACAGCCAACCGTCCACAAACAGTTGGAGACCCGGCGGATTTTCACCCTATTTTCCGTCAAACAAGGGGCCATCTAATCAACCACTCCATGCTTACCAACCAAGTGTGTCTCACTCAGCCCGGTCTTTCTCACACACCGAGAGACCACAGGCATCTTTTCCTCCTGGCAGAGCAGTAGAACCAGCTCCACATCACGTAAGTCAGCCAGCCCCTCTAATCAGGAGTGTTATTAATCATGCTCGGCCCCTCTATCCTGACTCGGACACAGAGTGCAAAAACGGAGCCCTCGCCCTCGCCTGTGCATGTGTCCATGCAAAAATCAAGTCACCTTCCTCGTGTACTCACCGCCACAGCCAGAGGTCTGGGCCACTGGAGCAAGTTCAAGGCACAGATCCCAATGCTCTTTGAAATCATAGGTCTGCATAATTATAGCCATGTCAAGCATCTTTATGCCCCCTGTATATAGTATGTGTGCTAAGTGCCCCAGTGGTTTTAGGTATTGGCACAATTCAACAATTTTGCACATTATTTTGCCGGTATTGGCAAGATCCAACAATTTGCACATAGTTTTTGGAGAATGTCATCTTGTAGGACACACACTACACTGTCTTGTTCTAGGACAAACACACACTGCATGCTCATCTTGTATGTGTAGGACACACGCGTTGCCTGTTCATCTTGAAGGACACATGCTTGCTTATACATGTTGTGTAGGGACAATGTTCGTTACTACATAGGGACGCTTGACTCGGCAGTAGTGGCGGGACCACTTGGCTCCAGAGAGTTCAGTGTTCAGGCAGGAGATGGAGCACTGCGCTGCCTCTACTGGGAGATTGACACAACCCTCCCTCATCTGGTCAGAGGGAAACCCATTAGGTAAAAGACCTTGAGAATTAAAGCATAAACCTTATGGAAACTATACAGCCCTTTCCATGCCAAAAATTTGACTTAAATACAAATCTTTTTATGTGCATCATAATTATTATGTGGGCAGAAAAAGTATAAGGTTGCTTCAATAGTGAAAGTGTATGAATGTTTGTTATTGATGCTTGCAGAGTGGTTGGAGGCTGGGACGAGAAGCAGGAGTGGCTCAAGTGCCACAGTGTGCGTGAGGCCACCCAGGACGAGGTGCAGACAGCGGGGGACATGGTGACTCTGTGTGATGCTGCCATGAGAGAGACACTGGCTACCACCCCAGAGATGTGACACCCCTGCTTCACCATAATATCACCACACTGTAATCAACTCCACAATAGCTCCATACACTCCGAAAATGACAGTGTTTGTAGTATGTGCTATGTACTAAATATATAATTTATAGATGATCAACACAAAATAACGACACACACACACACACAGTAGATGTGGAGGGACAGTGAAGAATGACTTGTTGTAGTGGCAGTGCTCAAGTGACCAATGTCCTGCTAAAGTTCTTCTAACAGGAGGGTTACGTTATAGACTTGTTCTTCTTCTTGTGTGTCATAGTTCCTCGTAGAATGCAATCCGTGTCTTCTGGGGACCTGTTTTACTCTGAACAAGATGAGAAACTTTTCACTCTTCCCTCTGCTCCCTCTATTCATGAGCCACTCAGGACAGCCCTTTTTGAGCTGTCCTGGGTAGGACCTGACCCACAAGACTGCTCTATAGGCAGAGAGCTCTCCCCACTGTGCTACCAGAGCAGCTCACCAGACAGGGCTCCAGTCAAACCAACACAACTAAAACACAAACCAATTCAGAGGCACTCCTGTATGTATGTAGTATGTAGCTGTGTGAGACACAGAAAACATGCATGTAAAACATAAACGAGGCCGCAACGCAAAGGTACAATTCAACAACAACCAAGACAACGCTTTTCTTCCGAGGAAAAAAGAGCTTCCATGGGTAGGATTCGAACCCGTGACACTCGTTGACTGAGCAGTCTACCTTGTCAAGTGCTAATCTCTTGTTGTTTCCGAGGCGGATGAGTTCCTCGTGGAGGAGGTCGTTGCGCGTCATTCTGTCTTCCATCTTGAGGTCGTCCATCTGGGTCTTGAGGGCACTCAGCTGGTCACTGATGTACCTTGACCTCTCCTGGTAGGCTTGGCTGCAGCGGGAGAGATTTGTCAAAAGAACAATTGGGGGCTCAGATCAATTATAAGAAGCCTCTCTCTCTAAGGACACAATGGAATCTGTACAGTTTCTTGCATACAATTGAAATAAGGACACCTCACTAATACGGACACTTTCCTCCGTTCAGGAGGAGAGACTAGCTCTACTGAATATATTGTCATGATAACCTTTCTTTCTCGAGTTGTTTTGAGAGTTCCTCCATGTCTCCATTGGGGGTGAGGTCGATCTCTCCGTGAGGGGTGAGAGGTCTGGGGCTGCTGTTGGCTGTCAAAACATCCAATCCTGCACCAGATGGCGGCTACACACACACACAGGAGTAAACAGAGACAGAGAGATGTTAATTACAAGTATGGGAAGAGAACAACCAAAGACATGGGCGTCTAGAATAATTTTCTTTGTCCGGACAACACTTTTATTTATAGAGCTTTTCTCTACCAACGAAAAAATTCTAAATTTGATTTTTTTCTCCTGTCTTCATTTTTTGTGAAAGTTGTGTTTAAGAGGAGTCATAGGTATATAGACAGACGTACAGAAGCGACGGTGGCAGTGGTACTGGTGTTGCCAGTGGTACTGCTGGAGCCGGAGCTGACTGCAGAGATCCCTGTTAGAGAACTGGACGGAGACTTGGCAGATGCACTGCCGCTGGCCTGGTGTCTCGGGGAGTGTCTCCCCTCTCCACTGGCACCACTGCCCCCTCCTCCCCCTCCTCCCCCTCCCGATGTGTCGTGGTCAACTCTCTGTACACCGTCAGCCACTTCTTGGTGTCTGCATCAGGAGAATCACAACACACAATTCTTACATTGCTAAAACCAATATATACCACATCTAGAACCCCTCTCCCTCTCTAAGGACACCCCTGAAAAAAGGCCACCTTAGTAACTTTCCTCCATCCCATTAGTGCCAAGATTACAGGGGCTCCTGTGGCATACCTCAACTGAGCGTGCATGGCACTCTCCACCTGCTGGACCTTCCTCTCCATGGCCATCCTCTCCTCCTCGCTGCGGACTGCGTTCTGCCTTGCCCGCCGCACCTCCTCCTCGGCCTCAAGGTTCTTGCGGGCGTGAACCTGCGCCTCCTCCTGGGCCACCTTCACCTGCAGGTTCACGCAAAATACGCGGGATGAACAAACATCTCTCACTTCTTTCTGCTGCATCACAAAAAACCAATGCTGAAGGACTATTCTGCTCCAGTAGCCAATGAAAAAATTTATACCAATCAACTTAGCCTACCTTCCTATTCAACACTAGAGACAGAAATGAAACAATGCGCACCCTCATTGGTATATATGTCCATCAGATTTTGGAAGAGCTATGTTCTTTTGTGCATATCCATTACCTGTATAAACCCGGGCACAAACTTAGCTTTTTTAGTGCTACGTTTTCAACCAGAGAAACATTGTCAGTTGAAACAACACCCACGTTGAAACTAACGCTGCAGCACCCAAATTGGAACAAAGCCTGGGTTCACAATATGTCACATTGCCCTGTCATGCCGCAAAGCTAGAGGCCAAGTTTACCTGTTCTGTCACCATCTTGAGTGTCTCCTCGGTCTGCATCCGAGCGTGGATGGCCTTCCTCACTTCGCCCTCCATCTGCCTCAGTCTCTCCTCCAGCTCCATCTGTCTCCTCTCTGCCTCGAGCCGCGCCTGCTTCTCTCTCTCCAGCCTATCTCTCTCTGCCAGCTTCCGGGCCCTCTCCTCCTTGGCCTGGGCCTTCATCTGTTGGACCTCCATCGTGTCTAGTCTCCGTCGCTTCATGAACATGTCGTGGTTCCCAATACACAGCTGCATTATCTACAATCATACCGCACCAGAAAGTGAGGAGGAGCCGACACTAATGTTCTCAACGTATTGGTAGAGGAGTTATTCAATGTTTAATAGAAGGGACAGGATTCTCACGTACCAAGTCAGAGGTCCTCGTTTTGGCCACGTAAAACACGAAACTCGGCGACCTCTTGTCGGTTGGCATTATACAGAACTGCAGGGGATGGTAACACACACACACACACAGCACTCACTGCATAAACACCACACACATCTATGTACAGTAGTTTGGACACTAACAATCCGTTTGTTAAACGGGTCCAGTTTATGTGTGTGAAGGTCTTAACCGCTTTGAAACCACTTCAAGAAACGGTGGTTTAAGGGACTTACAAACCTGCCGGTTTAAAGTGCCCGTTTGAGGTGAAGTACTATATATGTAAGACGTATAATGTACAGTAAAATAATAGGCAAACAGTAATGGGGTTCTGTGCTATGCAAGATGTACAATATGTGATCACTACATACTTTCTTTCCGTGGTATTCGACGTTCCTGATCTCTCCCCAGGGGAAAGAAATCTTGGGAGAGAGTTGATCGTCCTGTTCGTAGATGTTGAGACCAAAGGCGTCCACTCCCAGCCAGAGCTGGGTCCCCTTCTTGTTCTTGATGACAAAGTAGTTGATGCCGTACATCTCTAGGTCTTGTGCCACCTTCAGATACTCCATCTCGGCCTCCTCTCTTCACAGAGAGAGAGAGACAATCATGGCAGGGGGAGGGGAGATAGATACTCTGTGGGTTATGTTATTCTTATTTGCCTAACTACATTGGAAAGAACACCACTGGGACAGAAGGAAGTGTCCATATTAGTGAGGTGTCCTATATCAGAGGTTAAACTGCATGCAAGAACTGCTTACTTGAGCATGCCCTTGTGCTGGGCATACCACCCAGTGATTCTCTCCTCCCACATGTCCTGAGTCATCTGGTACTGGTCTATCACCTGACGGTCACATGACAGTCACATGATCACAACAAACAATACTCTCCCCAGGTAATAATGTTTTCACACAGAGACCACTTTCGCCAACACTGACAAACACGTAAGTGTTCCAGCTTTGATGTGCTTCAAAAACATAAGATTCACACACCAAAGCGGTTCCTCTACAGAGAATGCTGGACATGCACACTTTGTGGACACAATCAAAGTGTACCATACGCGGCGATAACAACGCTTTAGCTGGTGGCTTATGACAAACATACACGATGGATTGATGGCCAAAAGATTCAACTCAAAACATTAAACTATTAAGCTAAGGAGAGTAGGCGCACACAAATTTGCAGGACAGACGCAGATTACAACGAACCCTCTTTGGGAGTAGTCTTTCATTGGAGAGAAAGCCCGGCTGGTAGATATCAGGGTCATAGTCACCATACTATGATGGGTGGTAGAGTGGGAGAGTGTTATAATTATAGGGTATACTGTGTCACATGAAGGGTGAAATATGAGATTATTGAGCGTTCATTTTCGGGTGGATATAAATGTCATGTGAGGGTGGCATGGAGAAATGTGCTACACAGGCACCAGACAGCCACACAAATACAGAGCAACGAGTGGGAGAAACAGGGAGAGAAAGAGAGAGAGAGAGAGAGAGAGAGAAGCTCACCTCTGCCTGAATAGCGTACGAAGCCAGCAAGACTGACGCTTCGGGAGAGCAGTAAATATCCTCACTGAGCACAGCCTCCTTGACTTGGAGGTAGAAGAGGTGCTGAGTCAGCTCCTGGACCAACTCTTCGCTCACGTCCTCGGGGTAAAACTTCACCTTGAAGTGAAACTGGATGGGCTGCCGCTCCTGCAGCTTTATGTTCTGATCCACCACCTATGACCACATACTATAATATACATCCATACATACATACATAGACATACATGGACATACATGGACATACATGAACATACATGAACATACACGAGACATGTGTATATACATCCGTAGCAACACTTGTCGCGGTGTGTATCACAGGGTGAACGAGTATTATACACAAGTCAATGCAGCACCATACCGTACAACTGCTTGCAACTGAAGGATACAGAGGTGGGAAGAGATTTTTTGCTCAAACACACCTACATAAGCTCCTAATACATATATAATATAGAGCACAATGAATTTCATAGCGTACAACTGCTTGCAACTGAAGGATACAGAGGTGGGAAGAGATTTTTTGCTCAAACACACCTACATAAGCTCCTAATACATATATAATATAGAGCACAATGAATTTCATAGCGTACAACTGCTTGCAACTGAAGGATACAGAGGTGGGAAGAGATTTTTGCTCAAACACACCTACATAAGCTCCTAATACATATATAATATAGAGCACAATGAATTTCATAGCGTACAACTGCTGTATTGTTGTTAATTTAGCAATTGAAGGATACGGAGGTGGGAAGAGGAATAACTATTTTTGCTCCTACCTAACAAACACACCTACATAAGCTGCTAATACATATATAATATAGAGCACAATGAATTTCATAGAGCAGAGCTACAATTATATCAAAACATGCGCCACAATACCGAAGTCTAAACGTGTATTTACATATCACCAATGGACAACCCATAAACAGAAGTCTCTATCCACTCCAAGTGTATATGGGTCCAGGGAACTACGTATATAGTACAAGTCAGTATGAGTCCAGATAGAGTGTATGGGTGAGAAATCAGGTCTGTACATGTGTCGACACAGTGGCAATTCTGCACCAGTAGTAGTGGCAACAAGTGACATACAGAGGGTGGAGAGGCAGTAAACAGCCAGCTAGGATGCCAGGCCCTTTGTGTACTGAATGCAGGCAAGCAACAACGACAACATGTCTCCCACAGCATTGACCCACTGTCTCCTGCATACCATTGCTCTCGACTCAACAGTCACTTAGCTGTCCTCTTATAGACCGCATTGTCCCTAGTCTTGTACGATTTACCAGCTCTTGAAAGAAAGAGTGTCCACTAAAGCTACAGTAGTAGCTCTCTATCATAGTCCTACATATCTACAATGCAGTGGAACACCTCTCTAAGGATACCCCTGAAAAGAGGACACATCTCTCTAAAAAGGACATCTAGCATCGTACGTGTAATATAACCCCTAAAATAAGGACATCTCACTACTTTCATAATATAAAGGGGCTCCACTGTATACTATATGCCCATTCCTATTAAGTACAACATACGTACACGTACAATTATAGCTTTGACCAAAGATCAAAGGTTTTTAGTGGGAGGGGAGGGTGTGGCGGGTGGCCTAGACCCACTTCGATCTCGATCTCACACGAGCACGATTGAAAGATATCGGAAATCAATTGGTCAAGTTATCACCAATAATCATGTCAATTAGCGCTCCGGTAATCAAAGCTAAGGCAGCTCCGCGTGCACTAAAAAGGTAAAGATATATGATAGCAGAAAATGCTTTGTTCCCACACCACACAAGGTATTAAGTGTGCAGTCAAGTTTGGCAGACGTATGTACAATGGAGGATAACTGTGTTACAGTGGAACCCCTCTCTAAGGACACACCTGGAATGCCTTTTTTTCCCAAGAACAGATCTTGCATGCAAATTAATCCCCGAAATAAGGGGAATAAGGACACCTCACTAATATAGTCACTTTGTTCTCTCCCATTGGAGTCCGGATTAGAGGGGTTCCACTTCATTTGGCAGACATGCAATGGAGTGTAAATACATTAGTATAATATACCTTCTTGTCCGATCTTAGCCAGCTGGTGTAGCCCTTGTTGTCTGTAAATCGTAGTCCAAAGTACCACACCTCTCTCAGTCCGATGGTACGGGTGACCTGCTCAAACAGCTGCTTCCCATTCGACTTGGCCTGGGGGGAGCACCCAGCACATGTGTAGAGCAAAACAATTATATAGAGTATAGTTAGTACTAAATACACATATCTCTTACCACATGCACACAACCACTATACGTATCTGCCACATTCTCTACTACAGTAGGCAGTGCTCTATCAACGTGGAAGTCTGGGGTTCCACTGTAGAATTGAGCACACTTTATCTAAGGTGCAGGAGGCCAATGCTCAACTCACCTACTATTTCAATGCCCCAGTACACACTATACGTCGAGGCTCGCACGTACCTCGATGGAAAACTCTAGAACGGCGTCCAGTGTCGTGACCTGGACGTCCAGCGTCTTCTTGGGCATCTTCGCCACCTAAACATCCGGGAGAGAGGGAGGAAACGGCCGTCACAGTTGACCTACGAGACTGGAACACTCTACGAGATAGGATCCGTACCGCTAGCATTGCAACAGCTCCTCAGATCACCCCACAGCATGCAAAAACAGCAGAAACTGCCACAAAACTGCTCGAGAGCCAGTAACCAATCCACCACGCCCAGAAAGTGGTTCGGTAATTAACCGTGACGTAATTCATTAAGGCGGTTGTCGAGCTGACCTTTGACCCCTAGAACCGTATCGAAAACGCCTCACCTTGCAGCAGCAGCTGCCAAAGCCCGGTCCTGTGGCTGGCCAAGGCCGCCATGGCCAGTGCTAGCGACGGAGGAAGATCTCCAAATACGTCGCCCGAAGCTTCGGTGGGTGACGCGGCCGGAGGGACGCCCGAGCGTGGGCGTTCGGCTCCCTCTGCACCAGACGACCCGCGTCTACCACCACCGGCCACGGCCACAGCCAAACGGAGCGCTCTCCACAAGCCCAAGCCCACTGAAGGCGGCGGGTATGACTTCTCTGGCTCGTACGAGCAGACGCGGCGAGTCCGCTTCAAGTTCGGCGTGCATTCCCTGGCAGTGGAAGCAACGCTGGCCAAACTCTTCGAGAGCCTCACAATGGAGTGCAGGTTATAAACTTTCAGCTGAAACAAATTTCATCACCCGGTTCTTTACACTGAAGACTAGCTGTCTTCCAGCCTTGTCTTTATGTGTGTCTGTGTGTTCTACAGTGGCGTGTTGGTTCAGCCGCAGTGGAAACACTTCCGGCACTTTGACATGGTCAAGAACGACCAGATTCGACTCAGCAACGGAATATGGCGTTCCTGGCACATCAAATGTGGGTCTGCTCCACACGTCTCCTCACTCGTGCCTGCCCCCCTCCCTACATGCCTTGTGCAGTAGTTGGGGGCATAGCGTAAATAATCTCTCCTCCAGCTAATTCCTAGTGGAGGAAGTTGCTTTTGCCTGTTTTGATAACACTGGGATAAACTAGCCTATAGAGGATCTAGCACAGTATGGGCGAAGTTTAGGGCTATATAGCACTTATTTTGGAGGTCTGGTGGCCAGGATTTTTACAGTAGTATCTACAAAGATGTATATCAACAAGAACACTTCCTTTGCTGTGGCTACGACTTTGTTGCCTTCTTCCTGCCCCCTCCCTCCCTCCCTCACCAGACCAAAAGGGAAGTGAGCCGCTTTTCTGCACTTTTGACCTCAACCCAAATCTCAATGACCACACAAGGCCAGAGGCAAGTTTTACTCACTGGACCCTACAAATGCCAGTCCTATTGCCAACGCTTTCTCTCTGACTGCTTGACGCATGTGCTGCCCATCCCTGTACACACCTTTGCCAGCTGGTGATATACGTACTAGGTGGTGTGGAATGTGCCGATGTATTAAAATTACAAGTTCGCTTGTTTATTCACCATAATTATTATAATGTGTTGCGTTATGTATGTATGTATGTATGTATGTATGTATTAGGCGGTGGTGTTGGAAGGTAAGTATCAGAAAAGAAAGGTGGAGGCGGTAGCAAGAGAGTACAGGAAATGGAGGATGTTCCACAGAGAGAAATTCGTAAGCCACTATCCGCATGCACACTACGGCCATACATTCGTTACCTGGTGAGGGCCCTTAAGTTATTTTTAGGCAAATGGATCTTTCTTCTCTTTGCTCAAGAAAAATTGGGATGATTGGTCGTACAGTTTGCCTAAACAGCGGAGGGAAAACATGAGGCAAAATAACTCCTCTCCCCTCTCTCTGTCCCTCTCTCTACTCCAGAGGCAAGGGGGGTGCAAAAGAGACCCACTCCTGGCCGATCTTGTGGAGAACTTGCGTGGAGTGAGTTGGTTTATTGCACAAAAATAGTGGAGGACGTTATGATTACATCAACTTGTTGCTTGCAAGAAGATTAGCAAAGTTGCTGTGTGTATGATTGAGCTAAAGTAAAAACTGTAGTTAACTATGTGTATATTATAGGATGAGTTGGGTGGCGGAGTTGAGCTGCAAGCCATGCAGGTTGACCCTCCAATGTAAGCCTCTCTCCTTCGTTTTAGCCTCGTCATTCAGCCCCCCCCTCCTCTCTCTCTCTCTCTCTCTCCTTCTCTCAGTCCGGCTGGCTTGATTCAATTGGATGGTAATTTAGCAAAATCTCTTCCCCTCCTCACGCGACTTACCCCTCAACTTCTATCTACCATATTCTTACAGAGCTGTCTGACCCATTGTTTATGGGCCTGGGGCAAGACTACTTCCCCGAGTATAACGCCAGTAAGATCACTCACACACACACACACACACACTGTTTCTCTAGGTCTACCCCACCCACCCACCCTCTCGCTATGGCTATGTGTGTACGTACAGGTACCAACATGATGTTTCAACCGAAAATGGACGTGCTCAGTTCAGCCCTGGATGAGTTTCTTGGTAAACTGGAACCAATGGAAGGTGATTCACTGGCGTGTGCACTGTTAGCCTGCCCCCCAATCCTACATAAGTATTACTGGGCATACTAGCATGAAAAAGGTCTTAAAAGTAGCTGTTTGAGAGTATATAGTTTGTTTTAATGTCAACACATCTCCCTGAAATTAAGTTGTTTCCTGTAATTTGGATACTCAATCTGCATCGAGGTGTTTGTTGTTCACGTGACACCTTTTTCTGTCTTTCTCCCTCCTACAGTGCTCCTGTCTCGTACCAGCAGCTCCAACTACCAGTCGCCACTGGTGGCCTTCCCACAAATGACAAACCCCGCCCCCTTTCCCCAGGCCACGCCCCCTCTCCAGCAGCAGCTGTTTTCTCCGCAGATGGCCCATCCCTCTCTCCCTCCCTCACATCCTCCCATGGGCTCCTCCCTCCTCTCTGATTTCGGGGTCACCGATCCCCCGAGTTCAATGTTCCCCTCTTTCTCCCCACCTCCGCAGTCGTACTTTGACCCCCAGCAGAGCAGCAACTATGACAACAGGCATTCCCTGACCCCCGCCCAAACTCCGCCCCCAGACCACCAGTTTTCCCTGCCGCCCGAAGTTCCTGGGGGACTTGAAACCTCGTCAATGTTTCATTTCCCTCTCAAGAGGGACCCATCGTCTGACAGTCTCAAGTCCCCCCACGGAGAATTTGTGGCCCCCTCAAACGGGGGGCAAAGCCCTACTAATATTCCGCTAACAAACCCCGAATACGGCGGGTCGAGGTCTCAACCATCCGAGTACAACTTTGTGTCGCCAGGGCAACCGCCGATGGGTAGGAGTGACATCACCGTGGATACATCTCAGCAGCGTCTTTCATATCGGCAGATATCATCCGGTGACATGTTTCCAGGTGTTCTCGACGCGGGTCAAAGGTCAACAATAGACAACGTGGCGATGTCATACAACACTCCGCAAGGGGGTGTGGTCTCAATGGAAGGGGGAGGGATCCTTGGTAGCAAGAGAAAAGAAGGTTCGCACCAGTTTCTTCCTGGGAGCAAGCGGAGGAGTCCGCACAACTCACAGAGCGACCTCCCGCTGTGGGGGAACGAGGAAGGGGGAGCCCCTGGCGTCCCCGGCTCGTCAATGCTCCCACCTTCTGGCCCCACGTTCCTCTCGTCTCGGAGGGCCAGCATAGGAAGTGCAGCCCAGCTCAGTGACCGACCAGTTCTACAGAAGAATGCGAGTGAGCCAGCCGGGAGCCTGCTTCTCAGGGTTAGCCTAAAAATCCTCACATTTTTGATGACAAGATGTGTAATGAAAATTTTTTTCCTCGTAACCGTGGATATACCGCAAATCCAGGAACAGCTGAAGTTGCTAACGCAACAGCACGAGGCCCACTCTCAGGAACTGGACAAACAGCAGTCTCTGGCTCAGCAGCAGTATCGCGACGTCCTCCACCAGTACAAGAAACAAGTGGTGGTGAGTCTTTGTTTTGCCTTCTTTCGAGTTCCCGGAGCATCACTTGCAGTTTTTAAGGTTTTGCGCACGCTAGGACAAAAAATTGTTTTTGGTGCAGAATTCCACCTTAAAGGGTTGTCTGTTTTATTCCGCACTGTATACACTATACCTCACAGGGACAGGAGCAACTTAGTGAGTCAGACAAACACCTCCTGCGGACTGTTCTCGCCAAACCTGCACTATTAGACGTCCTCCGAGCCCTCCTCTCCCCCTCCTCCTCTCCCTCCTTCTCCCAGCCCACACCCTCCCCCCTTCTCCTCACACCCTCCCCCACCCCCTCCTCTTCCTCCCACCTCCCTCCCGTCACCAGTTTCCTGCCGGCCGCCGGAGGAGGAGGAAGTGCAGAGAGAGAGAATCCACTGCCAAATGAAGAGCTTGCCTCCCCAGAAAATGTCAAGGTTTGTTTGCCCTTTCAAAAATTGACAGGAAATGATGTGTATATAAGACAGAGAGTCTGTCTGTTTGTCAGAATGTCTGTTCACGATACGTTGTGCCATCGTGCCGCGATGGTAGAAATGGACCTTCCTTTGTGAACCCAGGCTATCAAGACCTTTAGCTCGGAGCAAACCAATAATCATTTCCAATCTGAACACAACTTGGTTTCACTAGACCATAGTTGTCAGTCAGTCAGTCAGTATTCCCTCTAGTCTCGTGTTTCCCTGATGTCATCGGGTCTATAATTGCAGCCTCTCATTTGTCTCTGTCTCTCAGCAGGTGACAGAGTTCCAGAGTCGACTCCTGGTGGCTGCCGCTGTGCAGGCGAGTGGCGGGAGTAACACACGTGCCTCAAACAGTGCTTCTTGTGAGCCCCTCTCTCTTTCATCTTCCTGTCTCCCTTTCCCTCACTGTCAACCTATGTATATACATTGTGAGCTCCTCCCTTCCTCTTTCTCTTAAACAACTTTCTCTTCCCTGTCCTTCACTCCTTACCGTTCTATCTCTCCTCTCTCCCCTCCCTTCTCCCCTTCCTCATTCCCTCTTCCCTCTCACTTTCCCTCTCCCATCGGCTCTCTCCCCCATCTCTCCATTCAGTGGCATCGACTCCAGAACCGGCTCCCTTCCCGGGTGACACTGAGCTCCTATCGCCAGAGTCTCGATCGGGGACTGGAGCAGAGACCACACCTTCCATATCTTTCAAAATAAAGTCTTCGCGAGGCCTGAGCTCTGAACAGAAGGAAGTATGGACCATACGTTTTATCACACTGTTTCGTTTTTGGCTGCTTCACTGCTCTCTCCCCTCTCACTCCTCCCTCCCTCCCTTCCTCCCTTTCTCCTCCCCTCCCTCCCTCTCCAGGTGTTCAAGGAGATCAAGAGACAATCTCACATCACTGCTGAGCAGAGGAGACGAGGGACCATCAAGCAGGGATTCGACCAGCTGCAGACTATCGTGGTGGACCCCTCTTCCTATCCCAGTGGAAAAGTCAGCAAGGCCACTGTTCTAGAGAAAAGTCAGTCGCTCATTTTCTTCCTTCTCTACTTTTTAAAAATGTCCCCTAAGTGTAGTGAGACTGTATATATAGGTGAAAGAGATTTCCTTAGAGTATCACAATTTGCAGGTTTTTTTCGTGTGCGTATTTATAATCAAGTATAAGGATGTTGCGGTGTGCACAATACCCCACATTCAGACGACCGGGTGTGCTCATCTTGCTCGCCGGTAATACACACGCACACTCTAAAACATCTTGTTTGGTTAATGCATAAAGAGGGAGAGGGATACGAGTGAGGTTTGTCTGTATTGCCCCCCCCCGGCAGCTGTGGAGTTCATAGAGCGAGCCCACCACGACAGGGACCAGAGAGAGAAGCAGGTACAGGCTCTGCGGCGAGAGCAGGAGGAGCTAAACGCGGCCATCGCCGAGTGTCAGGAGAACTTGCCAGCCTCCGGAGTCCCTGTTACAAGACAGGTCGGCTCACTACTAGACGCTGCTTCTCTCTCTTTTCCTATGTCTTCATCTCCATTACGCAATACCTTCCTCCCTCCGCCATTGTCGATCTTTTCTTTTTCTTTATCCCCACCTGCCTGGAGTTAGGTTTAGTTCAACAATATTTAATGATGTCCATTATATGTATTTACGTCTCTTCCAAAAGAGGTTTGAAGAGAACAGACGAAGGTTCCAGGAGTACATTCAGAGACGGACACTCCAAAACTACAAGTTCTGGATCGTATCCTGTTTCCCAATCTAACCCAAGTACATACGTCGTAACGAACCCTCGCGTGCACTCCGGTCTTGTCCTTGACTCGAGGACACGCAGTACAGCCTCATTCTGAAGCAGCTGTTTGAGTCTTACAACAGTACCGTATCCACGGGTAACCACGACGAGCTGTGTCGGACGGTGCTGGCCTGGTTTGAGCAGAACTGCTCCCTCCACGCCCTCAGACCCGGTAAAGTCGTCCCCCTTTTCCAACCGCTCACCTCTACTTTTCCCTCCTTTTTATAATTATACTCTCGTCCTATATACCCTATGCTCTTCACCTCCCTCCCTCTCCCCTCCTTTGTGTTTCCCTCTCTCCCTCACCTACTTGTTTTTGCCCCTCCCCTCCTTTATTTTTACTCTCTCTTTACACCTCCCCTCTCCCTCCCTCCCTCCCTCAACCCTCCACTCTCTCCCACAATAATATAGTGGTGATGAACAGTCTAAAAGAGCTGAGTACAAAGACTTCGATACTGTCTGACCCATCCCAAGTCCCTCATCAGCTGGTCCAGTATGCCAAACAACAGTTGGAGACCTCTCAACAAGACTACAATTATTCTTGACACACACCACTGTATAATATTATGCTGCTTCAACTTTTTTTCACCAGTTCAAATTCCAAACCATCTGTTTGTTATGTATATTATATATTAAATATAGAGGTTCTTTTTTCACCCATAGTTTTGAGAACAAAGGACAAAAGAAGGGAGTTTTGAGAGACAATCCTAGTCCATGGTGGAGCTACTCTCCAACTGTGGCGTGCACCTTTTCCATGAAATCTTCAACTGCTGCCTGTGCTGTGGCAGCTCTAGTGTGGTACTTGCAGAGGACGGACTCCTTCCCCATTGCCTCCGCCATGGCTCTAGTGTAGCTGCCAGTGTTCCCACAGCAGATCCCAATGTAGCGCAGTCCCAGCTCCAGACACCGCTTCGTGAACTCCACAATCTCCATTCGGGTGACGTAAAACGGCTCAAGTCCGTTTGGGTACGCCGGGTTGTTTTTCGGGTACCCCTTGTCGGCAAACACTTGCCACGTGGGTTGCTCAGAAGTTGTGCGGTACGCAATCGGTAGCGCACACACTTTCTCTGGAGGAACCACTTTAACAATCTGCTCCACCACTTCGATCATGTTGGCCGGGCCCTGCGAGCAGTTGACTCCGACTAGCGTTGCTCCCAGCTCCACCAACTGACAACACGCCTCGGGGATAGCGACTCCGTCGTGCGTCGCATACACTCCGTCTTTCTTCCTCAGGTTTCTCACGGAGAGCGTCACGACAGCTGGGAGACCGGACGAAATGATGACCTCGACTGCTACCTTTGCCTCTGCCAGGCTCCACATTGTCTCGGCGATGATGTAATCCGCCCCCTCCTCCTTGGACCAACGAACTTGCTCCTCGAAAATCTTCTTCACTTTCTCGGTGGGGTCTTCATCGCTGGGCGAGTCGGAGAATTTGAAGAGGTTTGTACTGGAGAGACCTCCTGCACACAGCGTCCCCGTCTCATCGGCCACCTCGCGGGCAATTTTTATCGCGATCCGATTTATCTCCTCCGTCCGGTCCTGGCCACTTATTCTCTCCATCATTGTCCTGTTAGTGTGGTACTGTGATGGAGAAAGGGATATCAATAGTTTGGCCATAGCTAAAGGTAATGAATAGCTAATAACCCGTGGACCTGGTAGGCTTCCGTGACGTCGGAGCCAGCTCGCACGAACTCGTAGTGCTGTTGCCGCAGGACGTCGGGGTAGTCTAGCACGAACTCGGGCACCCACAGTCCCTGCAGGACGTAGCCCGAGCGGACGAAGGCCAGCAGGTAGCCCTCTGCACACAGGATCGTCTCCCCTGCATCCAGCCTCTCCTTCAGACCGCGCCTGCGTCCTGCATTGCGTCGTGTGCGCACTTCAAATGAGCTTTACTGCCTAAATGGCCGATCGAACCTTTCTTCTTCTCTCCACCTTCTGAATCCATTTTGACAAGATTCAGCTCAGCTGACCTCCAATTCTCTTCTCTTACGGGCGCACGCATGCGCACTAACGTTGCGTGAGCGAACGCATGCGCAGTAGTACGAGATAGCCTGAAAGTTTATAGTTAGGGACAACTGGCTATTTTACAGAATTTGAAACTAGTGACAAATAAAAAAAAAAAGACTAAAAAATGATCACCCAATTGTTGAAGCTATGCGTCAGCTAGCTACTTATACTATACTGTGATATAGTGCACACACAATAGCAAATTTCTAAGTTTCCTAGGTGGGGTCTTCGCCGCTGGATTCGGGAATAAGATGGCCGTCGAGTCGGTTGTAACATCTCGAGCATACTCTCACGTCAGTGTAGAGGTGTTGGTCAGGGACGGGGCACTGGTAGTCAGAGCAGGAGTGGCAGAATACCCCTCCACATGCTCTACAGAGACACACGGTGACACCTCTCAAGATGGAGACTCTTAACGCTAGACTCTGTCTTAGTACGGGAGTTAACCTCTGAGTAAAGGACACCTCTATTGGGACAATTTTCTCAGTGTCTTTATTTGAAAGTTTTACTATAGAGTTAACCTCCACGTAAAGGACACCTCTGAGGGACAATTTTCTCAGTGTCTTTATTTGAAAGTTTTACTATAGAGTTAACCTCCACGTAAAGGACACCTCTGAGGGACAATTTTCTCGGTGTCTTATTTTACTATAGAGTTAACCTCCACGTAAAGGACACCTCTGAGGGACAATTTTCTCAGTGTCTTATTTTACTATAGAGTTAACCTCCAAGTAAAGGACACCTCTGAGGGACAATTTTCTCAGTGTCTTATTTTACTATAGAGTTAACCTCCAAGTAAAGGACACCTCTGAGGGACAATTTTCTCGGTGTCTTATTTTACTATAGAGTTAACCTCCAAGTAAAGGACACCTCATTGGGACAATTTTCTCAGTGTCTCTATTGTTTTACTCACACAGAGTGAAGCCGGAAACAGCATATCAATGAACGAACGTAACGACGCATCAAATGTGAGCGAGCACCAATAATAACCCCATTACACATCAACCCTTTCTACAACCAACTTAGTAACATCTCGAAATGGAAATACTTATGCAGTGTGCATGCATGCATACAAAGGGACTAGAGTTCATGTTATACCTGCAGTGGTGTTTCCTGACGATTAAGGAGAATGCGGCGGCGCAGCCCTGACAGTGTGTTGCAGCGTGATCTGGGACCCACTTCACCCCCACCCCCTCCCCATCCTCCACACATTCCCAGCTGGCCAGAGACACCGGAGACTGAATGAAAAACAGAGGGCAGAGAAAAACACTCAACAAACCATTATGTACATATGTATACACTTTTACAAAGTACGTATCTCCCCCAAATGACTTACTGGAAACCACCTTGGCTGAAAGATCTTTAACTTACACCCACTTTATTCAAAAAGTCATACAGCAGAAAACTTGAATGGCTGTAAAAAGTCCGCGGTATATACCTGATTATCTTCCAAAACAGATGCTCCTGTCGTAGCAGTCTCTTCCTCCTCCTCCTTGTGTTCCTCTCCCCTCCGCCCACTCCCCCTCTCCCCCTCCCTCACACACTCCCTCAACGCCATCTTCATTTCCACCAGCTGCCGGCTCAGGCCCGGCAATCCTGGCCTCGTAACACTGCAAAACACGGAGCAATCTCCAATCTTCTTCTCTAACCCTACTCGTTATCCCGTCAGAATCAATCCGAACACCGGGCCACATTTCTTCGTCCACTGCTCCGCGAGTGGCGGCGAGAGGGAGGGAAGAACGACCGACGATGTGGTGTGCTCCATTTAGGAACGACTCCCCGTGCTGCTGCCGGGGGGAGTGGTCGTGAATGGCGTCGTGGAGAAGGTCAGAGGTGACGGATGTGAAGAGGTGGGTGTGTGGGTTGGCAGACAGTGGACGTGAAACTAGAGGAAGCTCTGCTGTGTGTGAGCGAGATAGCAGTGGGGGAGGGGCAATGTGATTAGTGTGGGTGGAGTCTGTTTCTATGGTAACGTCGTGGGACACATCACATGGAGGTGGAAATGACAGGTCTTCACGTACATTCTCGTGACCAGGTTGTGTCACGGCATCCTTATCTTCCATTGATCTTGTTTCTTCTGTTCCCTCGTGATCCCCGGGGGTAGTATTAATGTCCGCCCCCCTCTCGGCCCCCTCCAGGGGAGGGACGGGGGAGGAGGAGCTGGAGACGGAGGCAAATGAAGAGTCAGAGTGTCCACGGCCGCGGACAGTGGCACCTGCAATCTCCTTCATTTCCACCTCCTTAGGCAGGGGCACAGCTATCACGTCACTCCCCGTCTCACTTTCAACCTGCACAGTTTACACGCAATGACATCACCTCTCTAATCACGCACAGTACATGCCACCATTACGTAATTTTACTATAGTGAAAACACAAACCATATACCCCATATACCCCACAGGTGAGTAGACAGTGGAACCCCTCCCTAAGAGCACCCCTGAAATGGGAACATACATAAGGCTTCCCTAAGAAGTTCTTGCATGCAATTCAACCCCTGAAATAATATGTACATGCGTATATAAGGACGTCTCACTGATATATACACACTTCCTGCTTGGTTCTTGGTTTGACTAAGTTTTGTCAGCATTTTCAATTGTTCTTAGCTCGTATACTGTACATTTGGTAACAGGACAAATTCCGTGACTCAAAAATGTAGTCTTAAATGAAGTGACAAGGCACTTTCTTCAGTCACGTTGGTGTCCAGAATAGCAGTTCTCTGTACTGGAGTATACCTGTGTACTAGTGGAGGGTGCAGTGCTGGAGACTGAGGTACTAGTTGTGGTAGTATTGGGGGTGTGAGTTGAGGAGAGGGCAGAGGAGGGAGTGAGGCAGGGAGCCAGGAACATTGCCCGCCACAGCTCCATCTTCCGTGTGTTAGCCTCTGGTCGCAGAACCTGAACCAACAATACACACACACACACAGTGAGTACTACTACATACAGTATACCACAGGATAAAAGACCCACAGAAATGATCGTCATGCTGTTCATACGACATTTCATAGATACAACTTTTGCGGAAAACCAAGTTCAAAGACTATTCAAAAATCTATTGCAGATTGCTCCAGCTACTAGTCGACACCACACAAAAATTTTCAGACTGACCCGAGGGCCAGCTGTTGTGAAGAGGTGGTTGACGACCTCTGGATTACGGGGGTTGAGGAGAGACCAGAGAGAGAGGGTGCGTTTCCCGATCCTCGCACCGTCTCTCTCCTTCATGCTGTTCCCCAGTAGAGTCCCGTAGAGACAGGAGTAGCTGTGGAGACCCATCTTCACCTGACACGGGGGAGAGGAGGGAGAGAGATATGATAGGTCTGACTTATTGGCACTACTAATATACATACCTTCTTGTACATACATGCATATACAGGAGACTTCTAGGCAGGGTTTTCTATTAGTGCTAGGCTAGAGCTGTGGGATATACAGTCACCAGTAGTGGGGCGCAACATACACCCAGTACATGCTACGTACATGTACACAATATTCATGAAGCATGTTGTTAAGTGTGCAAAATTTTAACCTAAACATGCATTGTATACACATGTACTACATATTTGTACATGTGTACCAGGAAGTTGTGGTTGAACTGAAAGTGAGAGGGGAACTGGAGGAGCAGCTGGTGAACGCAGTCCAGCCACTGGAGGAAGACGGGGCTGCGCTGGTTGACGTCGGGACACGCCGCGTGTTGCCCGCAGCGATCGCTGAACCTGTGACCAAACCCCAGCCACTCTCTCTCCACCAGCACCTGGAACCCCTGCATACAGTACAACACGATGCTATGCCAAGACCGTACCATCAACAACACCGACTGCACACGGTCATAAGTGTTACTAAGTACTGCAACGATTGCAACACCTTTTAATTGGCAAATGAGCACGAGTGAGAAATTTCAGTGGTTTTAAGCAGCGTAGTGACGTCATGGAGAATCATAATACAGGTATCTGACTAGGATTGCCAACTACTGTGTGATAGATAGGCAGTGGAAACACAGTGGGTTTTAAACGATGATGTCCAGCGTAATGGGTGACAGTATCACAGTATTAGAGATATACAAATACACACAATTCAGTGGTGTATCACTATACTCTCCCTCTTTTTCTCCATCTTTCCCATATTTTGCACATACACTGACGGTACCATACACACCTCTATGGTTCTGTAGTAAGGGTCCAGCATTAGTTCAGCCAGTGGCACAACTTGGGCGGTGCGGTCCCAACCGTCGCTGCAGTGGACCAGTACCGGTCTGGCTTTGTCGTGGACAGTCTGTACCACGTCACAGGCGACCGAGATGAGCTGACACAGATAGTGGAGCCACTGGGTACCCTCCAGGTTCGATAGGAAACTGAGAGAGAGAGAGAGAGAGAGAGGGGGGTTAACACGGAAGACAGGGAGGGGAAATTAATGAGGAGAGTGAAAGAGAAAGGAAGGTCACAACAAAGCTGAAGAATTTTTTGAGTCGAGAGCTGGCTCACTTGCTCTGGTCGTCGTTGAGAAGCGCGCTCCGAAGCTGTTGGAAGCTCTTCCGGACGGAGTGGATGTTGGGAAGATTCTTGTAGACCACCTCACAGTTAGGATAGTAGTCTGCACGTATGTAGCAGCGGGTCAGGTAGGGAGGGAGGGAGAGCAGCAGAGAATCAATGAATAACTCTGCTTATGTAGGGTGTTGGGGATTTACCTGTGCATTCGCAACCCCCACCCTTAGCTCTGTTCCCCAGGGCAGCTGTGTAAGACCTCAGATCCATCACCAGCAGTTCAGGACACGCTGTGTGCCCGTCCTGAAGTTCAGGACACGCTGTGTGCCCGTCCTGAAGTTCAGGACACGCCGTGCGTCCATCATGAAGTTCAGGACAGGTCTGTATCACGTCCTGTAGGACGAACTGGGAGTGTGACGTTTCAAAGGCAAGTGGTTCGCTCGTGTGACCTAAAAACAGTAAAACACTCAAACAAAAAACTTTCACCTTTTCCGCCACTCACCATTATTCATGAATACTGACTGCACCAATTGCCCCCTATCATCCATCATTTGAGCAGGGGGACCCCCGTTCCGGAACGGAATTGGGACGGGAGAGGAGGACCCGTTAGAGGGGGTGTGGCCAGTGACGGGGGTGGAGCACGAGAGGGAGACGGCGTGAAGAAGTTTCTCGTCCTCTGGGTTCCGCCAGCCGAGGACTCCGACCAGGGGCTGGCTGGAACGAGCTATCACCGCTCCATTCCTCGTGTGTCTGGACAGAGATGAAGTGTCATATGAGAGGGATTCAAAATCTGAATCTTTGTTTACAAAACTAAGTGCCTTATCATCGCAGTTTGTGTGCTAGTTGCATGATGAAAGTGCGCCGCTTATGAACAAGGATTTTTCCAAAATTGCGAGAAAGCGAATTTTACACAGTCGATGTGTAGAGTTTTTGGTATGGGGCTAATTGGGAAAACGGGCAACAGTTTTAGAGCAGCAGCTGTGCTAGCTAGCATGCTCAGCATCACACTTCATAAGTGCTTTGTACGTATAAAACTGTTGTGAGTACGACTACATGTGAAAAACACTGGCGGGGGTCAGCATGTAGCAATTTACAGACACCAAAACATCCTCTAGTCAATGAGTTCACACAACACACAACAAGTCACAACAACAACAACACACAACAAGTCACAACACACAAACACAAACACAAAGGGAGAGAGACACACAACACACAACAAGTCACAACAACAACACACAACAAGTCACAACACACACACACACAAACACAAAGAGAAAGAGACACACAACAGACAAACGGATAAAGACACCGCAGACCTCCAAACGATGGTGGGGAAACGACCAATGGCTCTGAACTTGGCAGCAGAGCGCATCTCCTCCTCTGTCAGTGAAGACGGAACTACCAGGAGCTTGGGGTAGGTAGGACACAGTCTGTGTGAGAGGGAGGAGGAATCATTAGTAGGAGCTGAACATAGTACTGAAACATCATACCCTGGGGGTCAGCTGATTAATGTAGCTGATTAGGTTTCTCCACAGAAACCATGCATTGCATACTTGTGCAGGTATGTGCATTAAATTGCTCAATTAATATCAATGTGGGTGAAGGTTTATTGGATGAATAACAGGAGCCACAGATGGCGCTTGCTCTCACTTTCAAAATTAGTGTGTGTGGGTTCAAGGTGGGTTGGTGACTGACTTGTATTCACAGTTGCAGTCTGATATCCTCCACGATCCTGTGACGTCCATTTGCATTCGCGGAACTCTGCCCGCACCACATCACTGCTATACACTGACCTGAGGGTTGCGCAGGCACAGGGGAGGGAGAGATTTCCACAGCCATTATGCAAAGAAGTGTTAAACTTCTTAAGAGGTATAATATACAAGCCTTCTTGCTACGTTGATTATAGTAATAGTTCACTGTTGAGTAGGCAAGCAAAATCAGTTTTAGTGTGGCTTGTCAGGGAAGATTAGGTGGATTTGCAGTTCAATACACGGGTCATATTCAATGGTGGGGTCAACCTATATATGTAGCACTTGTTGGAGCTGAATGAACTATATAGTGAAGTCAATTTGTCTTTCCAATAATGCTTCACTCATTAGAGAATGGGAGAGAGGGGAGGGAGGGAGGAGAAATGGGAGAAGGGAGATAGAGAGGAGGGCATAATACCAACCATAGTCACTATTCAGTAAGGGTTTTCCGCCATTGAGGACAGGGGGCGTGGCCTGGTTTCTTGTGGGCGTGGTTGTCTGGTCCCTACTGTAGGCCCAGTGGACAAAGGCGAAATGTCTTGTCAAGATCTCTAGCTCCGCAGATGGCCCGACGGAGTCTGTCCACCCACATGGCGCAGTGTGATTGGGAGCCAAATGAGACACTGGGATTATGGGATGGGGAGGGGAGAGAGAGAGAGGGAGAGGGGAAATAGAGGAGAGGGAGAGGAATGAGGAAGTAGAGTTTGATTAAAACCTCAGGTCAGGTGTGTGGAAGAGAGGTTTTGATGAGCAAACACAGATGTGGAGTTAAGAAAACATGTCTGTGATTTTTCAGCAGATATCAAGGAACAGGCTCAACTATATTCAGGGCGACAGGTCCTGACACTACAGCACTCACTAGAAACTGCCTCCGTCTTTGCACAGCACCACAATCTGCTCCTTGGACCCATACAGATCCACTGTATCAATGAGACCTGTGGGGACCTGGTGACACGCGGAGAGAGCAATAGTCTCAGCTACTTATCCGGCATAGACCCGCGTACAAACAGATTTGAACAGACACTATAGACTCTGTATGACATGTGTAACACAGTAAGATCTGACCGCACTGCACAGGGGGACACCAATGGGAATGAAGATATTGTGAGATTCCTTATTGAATTGCACGCAAGAATACTCTTCGGACAGAAAAATGCCTTGAAAGTTATTTTAGGGGTGGTAGAGGGGGTTCCATCGCCCCATACAAAATACTGTGGATGAACTTAACTCATGGGCCAGTAGCAGACAGCTACAATACACCCATAGTTGATGGTTTTGACTAAGAGGACAAGAGGAGGCTAGTGAGCCTGACTGACTGGCTCCACAGTCAGGTTTGGCTAGTTCACTCCCTCCCTCCTTTGTTTCCCTGTGTGTTTTCACACAACAAACACACCTAAGAAGACACATTTTCTACATACCTTTCAAACACAATACCACAAGGCTCCAACTCAGCATAAAAACATGCATACACTATAGGCAGAGCCCAGCACAGGTCCTACAGCACAGTACACCTAATGCAAGGTGTTCCCTTACATTGAAGAAGCCATTTTGTCTCGAGACGAAAAATCGGTAGTTGGAGATGGCGATATAGGAGTCCTCTGCCAGGAGACCAATGTACTCCAGAGCCTCCCCGCTCAGCAAAGGGAACGGTTGGACTGTGGCTGGGCAACCCTTGTCTGAGTAAGAAGGGAAAGTAAATCTACACACCTCTTTAGCACCTTATTAGAGCTCAGCCACACGTATGTCTTATAAAAACCTTTGTTTACTACATACAGAGCATCACAGCTCCTTACCTATACTTTACCTAGACTTTGCTGTTCCTTACCTACGACTTTGCTGTTGTGCGGGTAGAGTTCGCTGTTACGAATGGACGAAAAACTCTGCTCCTCTTCCGCGACCGGACCGCCTGCCCCTCCTCCGTCTCCGTCGCTCGCCTTGCTCGACGCGTACATGGATATAGCTAGACCCACACGCGAGAGCTGCACGGGAAAAGCACAGAGCTAGAGGGGAGACCGAACGTGTACAAGTTGTACCACGACAACACCGAGTAATTGCCGCAATACCGTGCTCCTTACAAAGTTACTTGGGGCGTCCATTTGCGTTCACTCATCCTCGTCAGATTTGTTGGGTCCTACTGCCCCTTGTTGCTCTCTGCAATCGCCGCCTGACGAGCTTTTACTATCTCTTTTCCCGCCGTTTCTCCCTTCTTCTCGATATCATCGCCGAGACGACAAAATAATGTTCCGCGTGCGCGAAATTAATGACGTCGTAGCAACGCCCATAAACACCACGTGATCGGTCCGAGAGCTAAAAGAGAGAGAAAAGGAGCGATGGTGGTGAGTTTCAGGGCTGGATACGGCACGGTGTGTTACTCTAACGACCTCCCGTCCTATCACACAGCTTGTCCTGGTCATCGGCGACTTCCACATACCCTACAGAGCCAGCTCTCTGCCGCCGCAGTTCAAGAAATTACTGGTGAGCGCGCCACCTCCTGGCGGGGGGAGGACCTCCCTCCCATATGTTTAGCTCGCTTCGCGCCCGGCTGCAGGTACCGGGCAAGATTCAGCACATACTGTGCACGGGGAACCTCTGCACCAAGGAAACGTACGACTACCTCAAGACTATTGCTAGCGATGTACACGTAGTCAAGGGGGACTTTGACGAGGTAACGTGAGCATCAATACGACATTAGACATACATAATGTAACGTACCGTTCATATGCAGTCTGCCAGTTACCCAGAGCAGAAGGTGGTGACGGTTGGGCAGTTCAAAATCGGGCTGACGCACGGTCACCAAGTGGTGCCGTGGGGCGACACCGAAGGACTAGCAATGGTAAGGAAGACTTACCTCCATCCCTAGCTACAGTGTGTGCGAGACTGCATAAATTTTAGCTTCAGAGGCAGTTGGATGTGGATATCGTTATATCTGGACACACACACAAGGCAAGTGTTTATATACATACATACCACCAATGTATGTGTACTGCTTGTTACTGGGTATTCATTCACTCTGTGTGTTTTGTATTCAGTTTGAAGCTGTGGAGAACGAGGGAAAGTTTTTCATCAACCCAGGCTCAGCCACTGGAGCATTCAACGCCTTAGAAATGTACGAACTCTACCGTGTCATTCTCATACCATGCAACTGGAAACTTGAGCGCTTGGAACAGATGCCAGGAAAAATCGAGAAATTACCCCTTAATTTTTTTAAAACTGTTCCCTCTCTCAATTAAGGTTTCCCTCCACAGTCATGATATTCTCTCTTTACTTCGTATTCTCTCTCTCCCTCCCTGTCTATAGTGAAGTTACTCCGTCATTTGTTCTGATGGACATAAACGGCCCGCAGATAGTCCTGTACGTCTACCAACTCTTAAAAGACGTGAAGGTCCAAAAGATAGAGTACAAGAAGAAATCATAAGACACTCGCTATAGGGGTTTTAAATACGCATTGGGATTATCGCACACATTTCACTTTTTGTACAAGATAACTATTGTGTAGGTGTAGTAAAACATCATTGATTTTGTGTGTCAGAAATGAGTGCCTGAGGCTATTTTCATGGAAAATGGTGTGACTATTATATTATACAGGTGCAGATTGATTTGTGTGTGTTTGAAGTGTGTGTGTGTTGTTTCAAGGAGCTGGTGTTGTACAGTGGCGGGGTTATCCCTGCTCTATGTTCTGATCCAGGAACAGATTCTGGAAGGCCTCTGCGAGAGGAAGGGTCAGAAACGCCTGCTTGATCCTCCCTCTATGCACTGGGAGGTCCCCTGTCATAATGGAGAGTAATAATAGGAAATGGTCAAATCTCACAAGGGGAATGTAGAAGTTTGTGATATATATAATATATATATGTGAAAACTAAGCGATCTGGTCAAATTTCCAATTTTAAACAAGCAGCTGTGTGCAATTAAATTTCACAGAGGGATGAAATGAAACTTTTGACATCTAGGGTATGGATGGATGTTTGTGTGTCAGGGTTCACCGGGGTCGCTGCATCTGACTCTAGTAGGAAGATCAGACTGTAGTTCCTTGTAGTAGAGGTGGACCACCAGCTCCGTTCTGCCTCCCGATCCTTTAGCCGGAATGTTCTGTTAGAACGGGACAATGAAACCTGAATATGGGACACTTTTTGGGAAATTCTTTATTCAGAGGCATCCCTTACTCTACACTAAAAAACCAGTATTGGAAAACAGAACAACTGTCGTCAGTGTCCCTTTAGTAAGAACCACAGTGTCCTTCATAGAGAAATGTCCTTTATTCAGAGTGTCCTTCGGAGGTTCTACTACATCAAATCAGTGAGACTATTGCGTAGTTCGCTAACCAGGACTAGCTGGATGAAGTTGTAGGCATAAAGTGAGGATATTTCTTCACCCAGGTACTCTGCATACTTCCCACTCAGTTCCATAGTCTGTGTATACAAAGAGCACTACTACTTACATATTTGGAGTGTTTTGGCTATTTATAGGCAAGTCTACGGTTGTCTACAGCAATTAGCAAGTTGTTCAACCAAAAAAACCTGGTATATACTAAAATGGCAGTAAGATATGTACAACTGTGTGTGAATATATAGTATCATATTATGTGAAGCTGGGTGTGTATCGTACCTGTTGTCGTCTCTGTACAAATGCACTGACGTACGAGTGCAGCATACACAGCAAGACTCTGAACTGCACCAACGAAAATCACACACACAAACTCACTCACTACTTATACCGATGAACCACTAGTGTACACATGTGAAAGTAGTACAGTAGTGCCACGGACCTGTATTTCTCCATCGTTGTATTTTGCTGTGAGTCCGGAGAGTGGGATGAATGCTGGCAGAGTATGCCACCGATACTGAGCACAATATTATAGAGAAAACAGGTATATAGTTTCCCACATACATTGTCTGTGTGCATACCTCTATCTCTTTGCCAGTGAACTCTAGCTCCAGATAGAACGGCTCGAAATACTCTCCTGGTGTATATATATGTAACGAATGGTGCAACATAAGGATAGATTGTACTAGTCTATGGACGAAAACACGGATGTATATATGGGTGTATTGAAGGAAATCTTTTCTTTTTCTATCTTTGTGAAAAAGCTTTCACTGCTCACTATCGAGCAAGTTTTACAGGAATGTGTCCACTTGGTACATTCACCTCTGTACGTGGTCTCAAACTGGATCCGGACACGCCCCTTTTTCAGGATCCGTGCCGTGGTTCCGGCACAGCGGTGGGCCACCAGCAGGTACTCAAGCTGTGGAGAATGACGTAATGACGAGGTCATTGATTAATGGCAATGAGCCTACTTGACGTTTCTCCTCGTCCTGAGCAGCTTTCACGAGGATCTGTGGGCACATAATGTACATACATTAAAAGTAGTACATAGTGTGTTTGTGAAGGGATAGGATAATGTGTACATAGATGTATACCAAACTGCTAATCACTTTTTCATGGTGTGTGGTGTATTTTCTGAATAATACTTTCGCTATACATGGAATTCACCAGAACAGTATTATACTTACCTCTTCTTGGAGGTGTGGAGGTAGAGCTGTTGCATGAACACCTGAAGAGAGGCCAATACATATGTTCCCTCAGTGAACCACGCAGGAAGCAGGAAGCAGTAATGCAGAGGTCATGCCATTGCGCACAATAAAATATGTACCTTCCACGACAGTGTCTTTGAGGACTTTGGCTCGCAGGCTGTCCGTCGGGAAATGCTTCAACTTCTGCTGCAAATCGTTTCTCCTCTTTGTCATATCCTCAACTGGTACATACATACATCATACCACATCAATGATCGATCATACAGTATCTAATATTCTTATACCTCTCTTTTTCAAATCAGCAATCTCCTTTCTTTTCTCTCCCAGAGCCACCTGCTCCTCCGTATCCCTGCGTAACCCAAAAGGAGAAAGATAAAAGGTATCCGGATGTGTGCACGGAGTTTCCCGTTCTCAGGATACTCAGGCCTGACCTGACGACCCTTCTCTCCAGCCTCTCGATCTGCTCGAGCGTCTTTGCCCGTAGCACGGCTTCCAGCGCTTCCATCTCTCTCTACCGCCCCACTTCTCTCTGTCTCCCACGATTTTGGTTTTCGCGCGCGAAAAGGGGCGTGGCAAACGTCACGTGACCTTATTGCTAGCGGCAACTAATAAACAACCTGATTTGGCTGGCTTTGTATAATAATAGCTGCTGCAATGGTCAAAGCAAAGATCTTGGTCGTCGGTCCGTGTGAGGTAAGCAAGAGAGGACCTATAATGTCATAAAGCAAGCCCAACTGTAGTTCACTGCATGGCTAAATCCCCTTTTCCTTGGAGTGCAGTAGATTTCCAGCTAACAGAGCTCTCAATTATGCCTCAACTACATATGTACTGCAGTCGGGGAAGACGTGTATCTGCAACTACTTGGCAGAGGCGACGGAGTCCTCTGGAGGGGAGTACCACCCAACACAGGGTGTCAGGATCCTGGAGCTGGAGGTGGAGGGGGAGGAGGAGACCGGGAGGACACTGCTGGTGGAGGTGGAGCTCTGGGACTGCAGCGGGAGCAAACAGTGGGTGGGGCCTGTTGTTATGGGCAACGTTTGAGCCCCTGTAGCTACTATTATTATGTAGTTTTGTACTGCAGGAAGTGTTAGTATTACCATTCCGTGATGTGTTTAGGCATCAACAGATACTTTTTACCCCCTGTATACAGTCGTGTATGTACAACAGTGTAATGTGTGCAGGTGAGCTAAGTACACATATGGTGCAAAACTGTGAGTATTGTTTGTTGTGTGTGTGCAGGTTTGAGCGTTGCTGGCCAGCCATGGTGAAGGACACTCACGGTGTGGTGCTAGTCCACAACCCAGACCAGCCACAGCAAGAGAAGGAGCTAGAGAGATGGTCAGAGAAACGACAACAGTTGGGTGCAATGGTCGAGGCAATATATAGCTCCTGGGCCTAGAGGTCTTTGGGCCAGCAAATGTGTAGTAAACATTGAGGGAGTGAACTTTTTGCTAATTTTTCAATGTGCGAGCAATCGATGAAGGCTTAGCTTTCCTTGAAGACTTAAATAATCTTCTCATGTCTCTGCTTGTGGATGCACAGGTATTCTTACTTTGTGAAGCAGCAGGGGCTACAGGATGACCAGTGTTTGGCTCTCTCTCACCACAAGCCAGTGTCTGCAGGCTACACTGAGACCTCTCCTGACTCACAACTCTCCTGTGAGCCTCAAAATTATATTACCTCGTTGCAAATTCTACTCATGAGAACTTGCTATGTGTGTGTGTGTGTACTACTTGGGGCTGCAAAACTGGAGAGAAGATTACTTTAGATTGTCTACAAAAGTGATGGGCAAAAACTATATATACCCTATAACCAAAAGAAAAGGAATCTACACCTCATAAGTACACTTGGTTCTGCCTCTGCCCCCTATATATACACTAGTACTTCTGAATAGTAACAGACACCTCAGTTTGGTGTTCCCAAGATCATGTTGTCCCTCACTCATAGGTTTCACTGTAGCTCTCTCTCTCCACAGCTGAGAGGCTGTCTGGGATCAGACAGGTCCACACCAGTCTGGAGGAGGAGCCAGAGGCCGTGAGGGATGAGTTCAACAGTTTCCTGATGTCAGTGGTGGGGAGCTGGGCCGACAGACAACACCGCGAGGAGGGATCAATTATTGATGGAGATAATGAATTCTAACATTGCAATACATTTTAGATCACGTGCATACATTAGAAATATCTGCAGAGTGTTACCAAAACGAGGTAAACTGTTGCATTACAATGTTATGCAGACAGTGCTGAAAAACAATTAAATTTTGCTGGCCCCTATTAAACCATATAATATACAGCGTCCTATAACTATACACACAGAAGAATAGTTATTTCTAGTCCAGTCAGGTGGGTGGTGGTAGAGATCGAAGTGGAGGCAGAGAAGGAGGATGAGAGGGAGGATAAATCCGTTTCTGACTCTCGATATATTGGACCTGGCTACAAGTATGGATAAACAAAAAATCTTAGCTGTCAAAAATGTGTCAAACGACAAACACCAGAGACTAATTGTTAAGCAAGCCTATCAACCAACAGTAAAGTTGAGTATACATGCAGTGAAGACAATAAGGGACACCTCTCCACAAGGACACTTGGTTCTGCCCCATAATATACTGATACATTAATGCATCTCTGAACGAAGAACACTTTCGAAGCCCCGCTTCAAAATAGTGGACAACTCCCTACTATATAATTATGTACCTTGATGAAGATGGTGGGGGGAACGTGGCTGGCGGTGACCTGGTCCATGGAGGAGGAATAGCGTGGACATGAGAAGTCTAGGTGAGGCAGGGCCACCGTCCCCACTGCCACTGGGTACAGGTTGTAGGTGAGGGTGTGGGTCCCTGAAGGCAGGATCCTGAACCGACTCTGCAATATACCATACGACTGGTTGCCTAGTCTAAAAATTATAACGCATTATTTTACTGCTACGTGGCGAATTTTATCAACCATGTGTACCCTAACGTGTACGCAGTAACGTCCATAGGGTGGTTTTTAAATACAATATAGATGTGTGCCTTTTTATGCAGTATATAGTCATAATGAACCAGCTACAGTAGATTAGTGTCACAACTTAATGTATTAGCATAAAACAGCTAGTGAAGCAATAAGCATTGCGGCTCACGTGTCTCTTTCCGGAGTACATGAAGGCCTCACTGGTACTGATACGGGCCTCCACCTCCTGTACCAGCAGTGTTCTGTTGTGGACCACGTACGAGATGGGGAATGGCGCATGCAGCTGTCCACTGGCCGGCAGGTCTGGGGGGAACAGAATAGTTATTAGTGAGGGATCTCGTGGAAAAAAACTGGAGTGCGAAATCTCTCTTTTTTCACTGGAACAGAGCAAAGGTTACTACAACCATAGTCATACATAATGTATGCACCTAGACAGAGAATTCTCTCAACAATTTTGGGTATATATAGTTCACTAATTATTGATAGAGAAGAGAGAAGGCAAGAGTATTAGCTACGTAATGGATGGATGGTATGGATATTTCACTGACCAGTGGTGATAGAGAAGGCAAGAGTATTAGCTACGTAATGGATGGATGGTATGGATATTCACTGACCAGTGGAGATAGAGAAGGCAAGAGTATTAGCTACGTAATGGATGGATGGTATGTATATTTCACTGACCAGTGGAGATAGAGAAGGCAAGAGTATTAGCTACGTAATGGATGGATGGTATGTATATTTCACTGACCAGTGGAGATAGAGAAGGCAAGAGTATGGGTTGGTATGGGAGGCAGGGTCACTGTACTGGTTATGACTGAGGACTGAGGCTCACATGAAGACCTGGAATGGAAATAACTATTCAAACAGATTTGGCAGTTACAAGCTTCAATGTGAGGCACTTGTACACACAAAGGGTGTCAGTACTGTAATGATCTACGTACCAACACTTACCCAACAACATCACAATCTTTTGTGTGGAAGTGTATGTGTACCTTCTCCATTGGACGGTGTAGGTGCCAAAGGAGAGAGTGGAGGAGGTGTGTGAGGTGTGATGTGTGAGGTGGGAGTTGGGGGAGGGAGCCAGCAAACACCACACCTCACTCGCCTTGTCCTCTGACCCCAGCTCCACTGAAAGGTAGACAGTATGCAGATGATACTAACACAGAAAGTGTAAATGTCTGCACATCCACTCACATTCCTTGATCTGCGAGCCATTGACGCCAACATTCTTCACATTAGACGGCTGCAGAGAAACACAGTATGTACGTATGTATGCACACACAAGATTTCTACATGATTCCCTGAAAACCAAATCGTGAAAACTTTATCCTTAAGAATTCCCAGCTACAGTTTAGTGCTGTTCTCGCATGTGACTGTAAAGAGTACCGATTACCCACCAGATCCAGACTGGAGTTGTGGATGTAGAGTTTCCATGGCGACAGGCAGTGTATCTCGGTGACCAGATGAACGGCTCGTCAAAACTGACGGCATCAATGACCTTGAACTTTGTACTCATCAGTCTGTACGTCACGTCAAATGGCTTCACCGTTGACACGGGAAACGAAAAACTCTGGAAAAGAGAGAAATCGAGAATTTGTACACATTATACATAGTAGGTGTGCTTTAAATGGGGTTTACATCCCAAACCATGCTCATGCCCCAATGGAACAACATTACGCAACCGCGAACATTGTAAGGACATCTCTACACCTTTGAATAGGACAATTTTTACCTTTACTAGCAACAGTTTCTTTCCCGTAATAAGGACACACCTCACATTCTCTTCGTCCCATTGGTACGTAAAGATCATCCCTGTAGATTCAGTATACTATTACACCAATTCAGTATACTATTACACCAATGTTTTTTATGCATTATTAATGGTGTGAGGCTTACCTTCTGACAGACACACGTGACAGGCTCCCATTCCTCTCTCACTACACCATCAACGCTGTATGACGCCTGCAGAGGAGGGACATGTGGAGGAAAGATGGTGTTATTATACCACAACACGTTGATCAATACAATCAGACATGTCGTATATAGATTGCGAGGATGTTTATGGATGCTGGAAGTGCAATTCTCCCCTTGAACAAAGCCCCAATTGCTGTTAAATATTTTTTGCTCACTCCCATCTTTTTCTGGTCAGTGGTGTAAAATTACAACGGATATTGCTAAAAATTGTTAATGAGGACGAACATTTATGGCAAGGGTTCTCTCTCCAATGGTGTGTGTCGACAGAAACACATTCTCCGAAATCTGCAGCAAACAAGCAACATCACTACTGTCATGGTGGCTATGATACAGGTATATACTGTATGTACCTACAAGTACAGTTAAACTCCTCTCCGAGGAAACCCATAGAAATGAGGACACCTCTCTAATTAAAGGGAGTGTGGCAGTATAATATAAGGGCTAAATTTAGAAATGTCACTAAAAACTGAACTCAATTGCATTCTTTCACTGTGCCCCATTGTTTTGTTCTATCTTTAGTAACATTTCTAAATTTAGCCCTTATTATTAAACTGCCACATTCACTTTAAGGACACCTCGTCTTCCCCCCCAACAACAGTTGCTTCTAGCATGAAATTCGACTAAACAAGGACACCTCACAACTGTCTTTTGTCCCACTACACAGTGGGCGGATTATTTATCCACTGTGTGTGTGTGTATCTAAGACTGACCTTTGCACCGGGGTCCAGGGAGTCGAAGAAGAGCTCCAGAGACTGTTTCTTGTGGTGGGCAGTGGGTGTTAGGGGAATGGCTCCGTACAACTCAGCTGGAGCGGCGAGAGGGGGCAAAAAGTGAAGATGTGAATACGTAGGATGCACACTTTGAGAGCAAAAAGTGATGTGAATACGTAATCTATGATAGGATGCACACTTTGAAACTCTGACATTGTTTGGCTACCATTCGCCACCGCCAGCTTTGCAGGACTGTTGCATACACCACAGATACATACGTAGGTGATTCTCTATCTATGCATACACATAATATGCAGTTTGATGCACTCGGCAGTTTCTGCAAAGTTCAGTGCTCCATAACTTTTAAGCTGTTCTTCTAAAGACCAGGGATTAGAATAGTGGTTTTTTTTTGGGTTTTTTGTGTTTTTTGGGGTGGTTGTTTTTGGGGTTTTTGTGGTTTTTGTTTTGTTTTTTTGTGTGGTTGTTTGTTTGGTTTGTTTTTTGTTTGTTGGTTGTGGGTGTTTTGTGTGTTGGTTGTTTTTGGTTGTTTGTTTTTTTTTGTTTGTTTTGGTGGTTTGTTTGTTTGTTTTTGTTTTTTTTTTTTTTTTTTTGTGTGTTTTTTTTTGTGTTTTGTGGTTGTTTTGTTTTTTTTGGGTTTTTGTGTTGTTGTTGGTTGGTGTTTTGGTGTTGTGTTTTTTGTTGTTTTGGTGGGGGTGTTTTGTGTGTTTGTTGTTTGTGTTTGGTTTTTGTTTTTGTTTTTTGGGGGTTTTTTTTTGGTTTGTTTTTTGTTTTTTTTGGTTTTTTGTTGTTTTTTTTTTTTTTTTTTTTTGTTTTTTTGTTTGGGTTTTGTTTGGTTTTTTGTGGTTTTGTTTGGTTGTTTTTTTTTGTTTTTTTTTTGTTTTTTTTTTTTTTTTGTTTTTTTGGTTTTTTTTTGTTTTTGTTTTTTGGTTGTTTTGTTTGTTTTTTTTGTTTTTTTTGTTGTTTTTTTGTTTGGTTTGTTGTTTTGGGGTGTGTTTTTTTGTTTGGGTTTGTTTTGTTTGGTTTGTTTTGGTTGTTTGTTGTGGTGTGGGTTTTGGTGTGGTTGTGTTTTTGTGGGGGTTGTTGGTGTTGTCTTAATCTTAGCAAACCACGGGCATATGTATATATATATATATATATATATATATATATGTGCCCAGAGCCTCCGTAAGTCCATAAGAATGTATATATGGCTATAATATGTAGGTGTTAATATTTATACATCAATTTCTGCTTATTTAAGGAGATACTTAAACACTTTCCTTCCTACAAGATGGAAAAGAGATGCCCTACCTTCTTCCCTCACTCACCAGTGTTTTTTCCGTCGACTGTGATCTTATCGGTGAGGGAGAGAGAGACGACGAGGTCTCGAAGTGGGCGTGGCTCGCAGCTGGCCACGGAGACGCACAGCGGGAAGTACTCGCTGGTGAGGGCGGGATTTCCGTGGTCCACGCCCAACTCCAGTCCCGGAACCCGGGGCTTGATCCTGGGGTTCAGATATGGGGGTATGGGGACATGACAACAATGTACAGCAGAACACCTCTAATCTGGACACCAATTTCATGGACAGAAGAAAGTGGTGAGGTTTTAGGGAAAGAAAACGTGTCCATAGGTTTCCTTAGAGAGGAGTTCCACTATACAAGTATGACCTGTCACTGCATCAAGTTAAATCATTATGAAGTCTACTTCTACTTGTTTTTGTGTATCACATTTGCTTTACTGACTTGCCAAAGAATTATTGTGTTCTTACAGTGTGGAGTTCCTGACACGAATCTTCCTCCAGGCGGGGTCCTGGGGTAGCGAGGTAAACCTCTCCGACACTCCGTTACTCCAAACCATCGTCACCTCCCTCCCTCCCTCCTCACCCATCACAGCCTCGACCGCGTGTACCTCCAGCCGATCCCCCACCGACGATTGGACCACGGGGAAAGAAAAGGCGAAGTTTTTCGCCAGGCACGGGGCGAGAGTGAAGGGTTCGCCAACGAGACACCATTTGTTGTACTCCTCCTGGTAGAAGAGGACCACCAGCTTGGTGAGGGACACAGGGAGTGGGGCTGAAGACCTGGGCGAGAGAGGGAAGAGGAGGGAGCAATACTAGTAGGTCAAAACAATAGGTCATGTGACAATTTTATACGAAAGTAAATCCAGTGAACTCGATATTTTGGCTGCTTCTGTGAAAAATTTGCCCGTACTACTGTATGAGTCTCACTCTGGCAATGATTATAAATACCTGAACTAGAAATGTCTACGTCCTAGTGTGCCTCACCTGAGATAGATGTGCAGCTGTATTGGAGAGTCTGCCAGTACTGACGACTGAGAGAACACAGTCTTGCATTCAACTGGAATGAGAATGAGCATGTGGGGTATGGGGTGGTAGAATGGGGGTACGACAGGACAGGGATGGGGTGTATCACAGAATAGGAACAGGAGTATGGAAGAATAGGAATGGGCATAACAGAATGGGAATGGGTGTATGATGGCCAAAGTTGTGTGATAATAGCAAAACAGGAAGAGTATTACATAATAGGGGATGGGGAATGGGGAATTGGGAATGAGAAACTGAGGAATTGGGAATGAGAGAGTGGGAATGGGGAATTGGGAATGGGGTATTGAAGAATGGGAACCTACTGAAACAGGCAGCAGAAGAGGCCTGAACAGTGAACTGGCTTGGCTGAACAGAGTTCTTTTCATCAGCCCACAGCTGGTAGGCAGAGACCTGCACGTCGTGAGGGACCCCCGGCTCTGGGTCTGGAGCCTGGCCCTGTAGTCACGTGATCGTCACATGACTGTCACATGATGCGGTGTGCCTACCTACCGAGAAGAGTGCCAAGGCGTTGTGTTGAATTCTCGTCTTCTCCTCAGTGGAGATGGGAATATCTGAAACCAACCGAATTTAAAGAAACAGCACCGAGAGGCCGAGAGTGAGAGAAAGAACAGGAGAGAGAAAATTTGCACAATTTAAGTTCATTCTTGTACTGCTATTGGCCCAATGAAAGCAAAATGCCACCTTTAGAGCCAGCATACTACGTTGTAGTGTATGGGTCAGTTTGTATGGAGGAAGAGTGAAGAGAGGAGAGGGGAGTGGGGAGAGGGGAGTGGGGAGAGGGATACAGTAGCTAATGAGCTCCATGCTAAAGAGGAAGTAGTCCTGCAGGTGGCCCAGGAGGTAGGCACAGCGCAGCAGAGTCTGGAGCACCGAGGAGAGGGTCTTCCACCATTGTTCCCTCCTGTACACCTCCACCACTCCCCTCAGTAACCTAGTATATATAGCCACACCAAGTCACATACATAACATACCACTCCACTAAACACACCAGGTGTTATGGGAGTGAGTGAACTTTTTTGAACCTAATATTAAGAGAATTTCAACTCACACGAGAGCTTTTTCATATTCCTTGACCTGATAGTACTCCTCACCCATCAGAACCTCTAATAAAAGGAAATAACTCCCATCTTGTACGGTAGTAAGATGGGAAAAGGGGACTTAACACTTAACCAGCTGCGGACACATAAATGTGTACAGAGCCTCCATAAGTCCATAAGAATTTAAATGGGGGTTATGGTTATAATACTAGCACTAATACTTCATACATCAATTTCTGCTTATTTAAGTAGATCCCCATGAAATCAAAAGGGCTAAGAGCTGCAGGCTGCAACAACTTACTTCCCCCTCAAACGTATCCTACTACCCGATAGGGTCATGTTATTGTAATGGTATGAGTGTACAGAATATGACTGGAGTTTCGTTCTTACTGAGATGAGATATCATTCGCTCAGAGTTGTGGTTCTTGAAGTAGGAGACTGCCTTACTCAGTAGGGGAATAATCAGCCACTGACGGAGAGCGAAGAGAGAAGAAATTGGGATAGCGGTGGGAGGGAGGAGGAGGGATAATGAAGAACATGAAGAAGGACAGAGATGACAGGAGGGAGGGAGACTAATTATGGTGATGTAATAATGAAGGGGTTGGGTTAATCAACTGACCGAGTGCTCTATCTTGAACTCCTGAGCCTGGAGCGTCCGGATGTACGTCAGCCTCTTCTCCTTACTTGACGGGAGGTCATCTGTTGAACACCAATATGAAACACTCACAAAGAAGGAGGCAGGGACAAGGAATCAGGTTAAAGTCGGCAAAATTTCAGGGGCATAAACTAAAGGATTTCTCTGTTAACTCTCAAAATTTTAGTAGAACATTTACTCTGTATCACTTGTCATTAGCTACGTAGACACTTAAACTGGTTTGTAAACCGCTTCACTTAAATCTGGCGAAGTAAGTGGGTTTCCAGTGTAAACAGTTGTTATGATGGATATTATAGAGAGGGAGCATACCAGTCAGTCCAACTCTCCAAGGTCTCTGTCCGTAGTAGGTGGTCTCGGGGGGTGTGGCCAGTTCCGAAGGGGGCGTGATCGAAGCCTCGTGGCACAAGTTGTGACTCAGTTTCTTCCTGGCAATGGCCGACATGGCGGCTTGGTGGTAGTACATCCCAGGGTTCTGTGTCTATATGTGGGGGTCATTAATCACGGCGTGTCGACACAAGGCAAACTACAACACTTGAGAAAGAGCTGTCTTTGGTGGGACTTGAACCCACGACACTCTGCTTTCTAGGCCTCTACCGAGCTACCAGTAGGCATGGTTCAGAGTCAACAACACAAGACAAAAGCAAACCCCAAACTCTGTTCATTCATATACCATACCTGGATGGCCTTCAGACCTCTCTTCACTGCTTCACTGAAGATGTCACCAAACGCACTAAACCTACATATACAAAGAGAAATACTAACAATGCACACATACACATATTGCAACCTAAAAAGTACTGAGTGTGTTTCTATACTATGTACATGATGGAATGAATGAGCATGTGACAATGGAAGAAGAGTCATGTGACCGTCACATGAGAGGACTGGGAGTCATGTGACTGTCACGTGAGAGGACTGGGAGTCATGTGACTGTCACGTGAGAGGACTCACTGTCTCGACATCCACTCGTGGTGCTGGAAGGAAAGGGGGCGTGTCCCCTGCTCCTTCCCAAACCTGTCCACGTGTCTGCGGAACTGTTGAATGGCTGACAGAGGCTCGTCCTCAGAGAAACACAACTGACAGATCTACATACACAGGGAGATGAAGAACAATGATGATGAAGAGGTAGAAAAATGCGAGAAAGAATAATTAAGATGAAGAAGATGATGTGAATGAAAATTATCATCAAATATGGTGACTCTGTCAAGCAATTCTCACGAAAAATGAGAGAAGGTATAATTATGGAATCCAGAATAAATCAACCCTGTTGTACGATTGTCACATGATAGTCATGTGACTACCTAACCTTGTAGCTGAGGAACCCGGCGATGAGTTTGAACTCCATGATCTTGTCTTCACTCAGAAACATGGAGTCCAACAGATGGTTGTACGCCGTCTGGTACAACCTGTGGACCAGGACCAGGAGGAGGAGGAAGAGGAGGAGGAGGAGGAGGACCAGGAGGAGGACCAGGAGGAGGAGGACCAGGAGGAGGAGGAGGAGGAGGAGGAGAAAAAACGGCATTAGTGACTTTTGGGAACATGGTAGTACGATATAAGGGCTAAATTTAGAGAGAGAGAGAGAGAGAGAGAGAGAGACGGTTGCGTCCCTCACTTGAGGGCGTTGGCAGGCTCTTCCTTCATCTCTGTGTAGAAGGCAATCTTGAACTGATGTCTCAGCAACAGAGGGTGGGAGGGGGAGGCCTTCATCACTATCTCCTGCAGCAGAAAAACAGTACGAACATAGTCTCTACTGGTACACTTCATCTGTAGATCTTTATACAGATGGAAAATATGAAAATATGCATAGCTGGTATAATGTGTGTATATACTGTCATTCTTCACTGCAGCAGGCTAGCTGCTCACATTCACATCAAGAACAGTTTCGCACAGTTAAAAAAAGCCAAAAGGTGCAAACTGCAGTACAGGAAGAACGGGAAGTGGACTGACTTTGTGTGCCTTGATCTTGGATATCTCGTGGGAATAGTACTGCAGCGATTTCTTGTAGAACGCATCCTCCAGTCTGTGCAAGAGAGGAGGTCGTAAGTTAACTGACAAGAAATGCAGAAAAAGGAGAAAGGAGAAGAAGAAGATGCATAAGAAAAACGAAGAGAGACAGAGAGAGATTGTGTCTAGTTGCCTCATTCCCAGGCTGCTTGCTCCAAGCACTGAGGGGGACATCAGAGCAATTTAAACCCAGACACTTTTGTAAACATAGTCCCCAAGGCTAAGGCTGAAGGTTACGGTCAACGGCAGTTTTAATTATGTGTGACAAAGACTCTTCTAGACTTTCTGCAAGGCCTGGGAACCAAGATGGCATTCTAGCTGACCTGATGATGAATCCGAGAGGTCGGTCTGTGAAGGGAAGGGCAAATAGGTTGAGTCGTGGGAGACCACAGAGAGAACAGAGAGCTGTGGCCCTTTCACTGGTCAGGCTGCTGGGGTCTCCTGTGGAGGGAGGGATGGAGGAGGACGACGAAATTAAGATCAGTTGGAGGGAGAGAGATGAGGAGGAGGAGGAGGAGGAGGAGGAGGAGGAGTGAGAAGGGTGACCATACCAACAGGGATAGGCGGAGTTGTTTGGAGAAGGACTATGACAATCTCAGTGGCCCGACCTTCTAGTGCAGCTCTGAACAGAAAGATAGAGAAAAACTGACCACACAACCTACCACAGTACACAGCAGGGCCCCCTAACTGAGATCCCTGCTGTCAACCAGTCATACATACCTGATGACCTCTATCTTGGAGGCGCACTCCGTCTCCTTCTCCTCCCACTGAGACTCGTCCCAGTCCAGGTCGAAGAAGAACACGACAAGGGAGGGCACCTCCAGACACTGCTTCCTCAGCCAGTTGCTCTTTAGCACTCCGAGAGGCTTCGACTCCTCATAGTTGGTCTGGGACAATACACGGGTTTTTCAGTGCTAAATTTAGAAGTGTTTAGGGCCCACGGCTGCTAAATTTAACCCTTATAACTATAGATGCAAGTGACATTGATTGGCTGTTCCGCGACATGATCAATTTCGATATCTAGGGACCAAGAATTCTCCTGCAATCTCATTGTGAGAACTTACAGATCGCTTTACTTTACAAGAGTGGGCGTGGTCTAGGCCAAAGGTCAAACTCTAGAAAGATAGGTTTTTGGCATGTGGGAAGCAGCTATACCGGTTCCGAGGTCTTGGGGTAGAGATGGTCTGGCGGCATGTTGCGGTAGAGGATCGGCTTTCGCTCGCTCCGGCGCCCGCCCTGCGTAAACTCGTCCCAGACGGCCCGGTGTACGGCGTTGTTGCGGACGTCCAGTCCCGACATGGCCACCAGGCAGCGCGGCGGCTGCAGCAGCTCCTCAAGGAACCTGAGGGACGTGGACATGCTTTCTTCTCTTTGTTGGTGCCTTCTTTAGTACGTCCGAGCATGCGCGGACGGATTAGCCCCGCCGGCCGGCCCCCCCTTTATATAATCGGTGATAAAAGGATCTCGCCGCCGATCAGAGCCGCACAGGTAGGGGATAGCTACGGAGATAAACAGACGTGACAGGAAAAATAAAGAGCGCAGGGTAAGAGCTAGAGGTATATAGCAAAAAGAATAGCCGCTTTCATCTCTATTGCTATCGGTCTTGACGATCCCTACAGCAAAACACTTGGCCGGAGCCTCCAGTGCATCATACACTGTTATCGCGATCTCATGGCACGCCCGCCAGCCCCGGACACGGATCCTTCACCTTCACCAGCGGCTGCAACTGGTATCACAAGGTCTCCGTCTGCTACCTGGACTGTCCGACCAGGAACGTTTCCAGTCAGTGCGTCATCGTCAAGCTCTCGCCCGAGCTCAGAAGCGCTCTACCCATCCGCCGGAGCAGCTCCAGCAGTAGTGTTGCTCGTAGTGCAAGTCGCACACCACCGTCAGATCCGCTGACTCTGGCGCTGATAGCTCCGCACACATTTCTCTACTGCGAGAGTCCGAAAGAGCTCCGAGACTGGAGGCTGTACACGGGAGTCGAGAGCACGCAGAAATCCGGCGGTCTGAGGCTGCACGAGCGATACGTCAGCGAGTCCTTCACCTGCTGCGGTCCTCGCGGAGTCTGGGGGAGCACGCCTCCTCACAGGGGGACGTACGTCCACGAAAACAGTTGTCCGTTTCAGGCTGACTTTGCAGTCTTCGTACTAAAACAAGAGCTCACAGACCAGCTGAAGGATGTTCTCACTATACCGTCACTCCCGTCTCTGGGCGAGGGTCGGTTCTCTCAGGCTCTCCGCACTGGGAACCACTATCTCTCTCTCATCCAGCGAGGACCCTCTGGTGCTGCCGAGACCCACCGCGTCCTCCTCAAACCTCCCTCATCACTCTCGAGAAACGATCCTCTCGATCGAGGACCAGATGGCGGCCTACAACGAGACCTCTCGTCTCCAGTACACCTGTGGCCACAGCGACTCACGCTCCGGTGCAGCGGTGGTGTATTTTGATTCTGACACTCCGGACATTGCTCTAGTGCTAGCTGCAATGCACCTCTACTCTCGCAGAGATGATGAGATCTTCACTCACTGCGCCATCTCTCTGCCAGCCATATTCCACACAATTGCAGGTCAGACTTCAATCTAGAGCGTGACTATGGAACCCTCTAATGTGGGACCGGGAACCCTCTAATCTGGGCATCCATGGGGCACAATAAACTCTCCATATTACAGAGGTGTCCTCATTTCAGGGGTGTCCTTAGAGAGGGGTTCCACTGTACATCCAAATCAGAGGTGCACTGAAGTTTTGTGGATGTAAAACTTGCTCCACGAAAACAGTTTTCCAGCAGTACAGAGAGTACTAACAAAACAATTCGGCTTCAATAAACTTTCAATCCACGCTTGAAAACTTGGTGCTATATACATACTCAGTGTGATGTACGTATGTTGGTGCTGTATAAGTATAGCTAGCCGCAGTGCGAGTAGCTAAGTAAGTTGTGATAGTGTGTGTTACAAACTGCAGGCAGTCGAGTGTGTGGAGTGGTTCCCTGCCTGTCTCTGCTGGTGGGGGCATGCAACAACAGCCACTGGACTCACAGGTTCTACCAAGACCTACAAGATTGTCTCCATCCGAGAAATGATCCAGTGTGTGTGTGTGTATGTGGTGTGTGTGAACTATCACTGCATGGGGTTCCCCCAGGGGTGTCGTAGGTTGTCGCTGTGTTTCAGTGGTTCAAACAAAAACACTCCTAACTCTTTCACTGAACTATACCCTCTTGAGAAAACCCTACAGTTTTTTCATGTCGCTAGAGATGATGTGGCAGAATTTGTGTCGTGCGGTTTTCTGACAGTTTTTCAGTGACGTCAGAACATCAGGAAGTTTTTCAGTAGTGTCTCATTTGTTTATGATTCGCTAGTTACGGGACGCGAAACCTCTGCTAAAAAACAGACACTGTTGTCATTACATATGCTAGGTCACTAAAATATTTTTCAACGATAATCAAAATTGAAAGTGGGGATGTTGCAATGTTTTCAAGAGAGATTCTGCTGTCATTGACCAGCTTGCTTTGTCAAAGTACAAAATAGCTATATACTGCAGCGGAAAACGTGTATCTGTGCAGTTGAGGCCCAAGTACGAAAATAAAACCAATTTGAAGTGGGGTATTCAGAAATGTATCACACAGTCTTCCAGTGAATGTGGTAGTACATTTTAGAAACTGTTTCTGAAATCAAAGCTGAATTGCATTCATGAACTGGGCCCCATTGGTTCGTAAAATTTAGCCCTTACGTACTGCCACGTTCTCTTTAACATCCCCAACAGAGGACAAACAGATACGCTATCGTTGGATATCTCGACTACTGACAGTGTGTGACTATCTCTGTCGCGACGAGGCTCAGGCTGTCCTGAGATTGGAGGTGTACGACAGCCCTCAAATTGTCCTTGCCTCACTCAACCTCCTGTCTGCCCTACTCGGCTGCTGTGAGTGTGCTACATTGTTGATTGTGTCTGTGACGTATTTGGTTAACTGTGAGGTATGCAGCAATCAAGCCCTGCTCCCACAAGATGTATGATAGCAATAGAAAATCTCTACACTTTTTGAGTGATGACTCACCCATGCACACACAGTGAAAGATATGGCAAACGTATTGTGTGGGTACGAATACGCTACAGATAGTTTGTTTTCTCTCTAGCGTGTATCATCTAGGGACTGGGAAAAATAACAGGGAAACATGCTTGCAAACTCTTGCAGTTGAGAGAGAGATAGAGTTGGAAGGAGTTTCTCGGTTCCACTGCCAAATTAACAGGGTCTTTCCTCACGAGAGCCAGCGAGAGGTTCTATTCCGGTCTGGAGAGGCTGTTTCAGAGACTCTACAGACACCTGAGTCTGTCTCAGAGCAGTGACGTCATCATCACTGTCTGCGTGGAGTCGTGGCACAAATGTGTACTCTTGTAGGTAAAGATTTGTAGGCAAGATGCAAGGTAGAAATGATACGCACCGATTCTTTTATTGTTAGGTGCAAACACTATCCTTGGTTTGAGCAAATTCCTAACAACATTACAAAACCACTCTAATCTGTTTGAATGTGCATGATTGTTGCTTATTTTATTGCTACAATAGTCTCGTACCCAATCGCTTTACCCACTATTGCCACAACACGTTTAACCACTGCTGCTTGAATATACCTGTCTACGCAGGTCACAAGTCGAGTGCTTTCTATGAGGTGGCCAAGTTCACCAGAGTCAAGGTCCTGCGAGACAGTCCTCGGTTCAGTGACAGCGCTCACTTCCAGAGACTGTTTGGAGACCTCTGTCTCGCCTTCCTCACACACACCAGAAGTAACCAATAGCCAATTTGAGCACACTAGGAGAATTCTATCAAAAGAAATCGCTCGCTTACCACATTATGAAAACATTCTGAGATCTTCATAAAGTCTATGGGCCTATTTGCTATGGCTGCTATTTGGCTTTGGATATATCAAATACTTAAGTAGATATGTCTGATTTTTTTGCTGTTTATTTGGTTTGCCAGTGACAGCACATGAGGTAGTAGACAGTGCAGCAAGCAGAGCTAAGATTGAGGAGCTGGAGAGAGAAAAAGAGGCCCTAACAACAGAGCTGGATCAACTAAGACAAGGTCTAGTCCCCTTGTTCCTGTTTGTTTAGCAGAGTAAGTCAGAGAATGGAAACTGCTATAGTGTAAGCACTGCAAGTGCGAAGTCACATGTTTACGGCAGTAGTAGTACAATCAGTGACGGATGCAAAAACTTTCAAACAGAAACTGATTAGCTCATGATTACAACGGTCATATGATTGCAGAGTTGGCCCAGACTCAGAGAGGGAACTGTGTAGGTGTGACTGATGGTGTACTACAGCCATGCCTCTGCCTCCTGTCTCCTGTGAATGCTGCTGCTGGTGATGCTAGTGATGGTAGGGGTGGTGGGGTGAGGAGGGAGGACTCAGAGTGCCCATTCTGGGAGAGAGACATGAGCAGTCTTCTGGCTGAGAATCAGAGTCTGAAGGAGGCACTTGGTGCTGCTTTTCACAACGTGGATGGAACAAGTAGAGCTCTTTTTTACATTGTTGTTGACATGATCTTTATTAACTATTACCGTTGTAACTTCAGGCTGATGTAGACCCAGAATTCAGTTGTAGGTAGCTGGTCAGTTTTCCACAGTGACAGTGCATAAGTATGCATTTAAAATACGTGTGTGTGTGTGTGTGTGTGTGTGTGTGTGAATATTTGGAGAAAACTACACTACACATTGTTCATGGCCTGGGTGCTACAACCATGAGTGTGTAGCTGTGATATCGAGGTGTATAAACTAATCTAATAACTACACAGGCAACGGGATGTGGACTTGTTTTGTCTGTCACTTGGAGAGGAGGCTCCAGGAGGGCTGAGAGGGACACTGGAGCCTCTGCTGGCAGGGGAAGGGGCCTCAGAAGGGGACAGGATTGAGCTGGTGGTGAGAGAATGGTCCTCGTGGGAGGACGTGACTGTCAGCATCTTCTACGAGGTGGCCAAAGAACTGGGTCATGGACAGAGGATTCAACAGGTTTTGTCGAGTCGAGAGCAGCCAGAGACTGTTCCCTCGCTAGATGAGCACAGGAATAGTACAGCAAAAGTTATTTAGTATCATTATTGGTTGTTTTATGTATGATTGAAATGAACCTGCATAATATCAATAGCAGGCCACTGCAAATATATACAATATTGGAGTGACAATATTCACCATAATTCAGTAGTGTTCTAATAGCGATGGAATTGATTGATGCCTGTCTTTGGCAGAAATAATGACGGCACAGGATCTGCATATGGGCGCTTACCAAATGCTATGCGCGCGCGCTGGCGGCGCGGCCTAGCTATAAGGCAATGAAGTGCCTTCCGCATGAGAGCTAGCTAGACATCATGCATACTGACAACTCCCAGGGAATTTTTCACAATAATCTCTGGAGCAGGCATCAATCACGAGAACATAGCATTCCTCGCGGAGAGACAGCACCGATGTGCCATCCATCATGCATCTACTAGGTAGTGCATGACGACACGCGAGAGGCGTGGCTCTGCGATGTCGGCGTGGGAGTTGGTGTTCCTGGGGACAGGGTCGGCGTACCCCTCGCCTCACAGAGGAGCCTCCTGCACAGTGCTCCGCTCAGGTCAGCACATCACAGACTCGTGTAGCATCAGTAGCCATTCAGACTA